CTGGGTGCTCCAGTGTTGGGTACATATATATTTATAATTGTTATATTCTCTTGCTGAATTGATTATTATTATATAATGTTCTTTGTCTCTTTTTACAGCTTGACTAGAAATCTGTTTTATCTGATATAAATATAGCTGCTCCTGCTTGTGTTTGGTTTCTGTTTGCATGAAATATCTTTTTTCTATCCCTTCATTGTCACTCCGAGTCTGTCTTTGCAAGTGTGGTGAATTTCTGGTAGGCAGCATATAGTTGGGTCTTGTTTTGTATACATTCAGCCAGTCTATATCTTTTTTAAAAAATAGAGGCAAGGTCTCACTATGTTTCCCAGGCTGGTCTGGAAGTCCTGGGCTCAAAAGATCCTCCTGCGTTGGCCTCCCAAAGTGCTGGGATTACAGGGGTCAAACACTGTGCCTGGCCAAGTCTAGGTCTTTTAAATGGAGAATTTAATCTATTTAAATTCAAGGTTATAATAGATTGGTGAAGACCCATTTATCTCATTTTGTTGATCATTTTCTGGTCTTTTTATATATCCTTCCTCTCTTATATTTATTTTTGTAGTAGGTGCGTTTTTGTACTGATAGGGTTTGATTCCTTTTTTTTCCCCCTTTGTGTATTGGCTCTACCAGTAAGTGTTATAGTTTTGCATGTTTTCATAATGGTGGTTATCATCTCTTCTCTTCCACTTGTAAGACTCCCCTGAGCATTTCTTGTAAATCTATTCTAAGAGTTATGAATTCCCTCCGGTTTTGCTTGTCTTGGGAAGAGTTTAATTCTCATTCATTTCTGCAGGATAGCTTTGTTGGATATAATTTTCCTGGCTGGCATTTTCTTGTCTTCAGTGCTTTGAATATCTCATTCCATTCTCTCCTGTCCTACAAGGTTTCTGCTGAGAAATCTGCTGTTGTTCTGCTGTGGTTTCCCATTTATGTAACGACATTTTTCTTTTGCCATTTTTAGAATTTTATCTTTGTCTTTAAACGTTGACAGTTTGATTGTAATGTCCCTCAGATAGGCTTTTTTGGGGTTGAATCTATTTGGGGATATTTGAGCTTCCTGGATCTATATGTTTAACTCTCTGAAGAATTGCGATTTTTTTCACTAATTATTTAATTAAATGCTTTCTGTACCTTTTTCCTTCTCTTCTTCTGGAATGCCCTATAATGCAAATATTTGTTCATTGTTACTTAAAAATTCCTTAATTTCCTTTTTTTTTTTTTTTTTTTTTTTTGTCGGTCTGAGTTATTTTAAAAAGCCTGTCTTCAAGTTCAGAAATTCTTTCTTCTGCTTGGTCTTATCTGTCAGAGAAACTCTCAAGTATATATTTTTTTCTTGAAATCTGTTGCTCTGGGATGTGTTTTTGATCCTTTTTTATGATATATATCTCCCTATTGAATTTCTCATTCAAACCAAAACTATTTTCTTGAGTTTGTTGAATTGTCTATCTGTATCTTGTATCTTACTGCATTTCTTTAAGATTATTATTTTACATTCTTTTTCTAGAATTTTGTATATTTCCTTATGATTACAATCTGTTACTGGTGAGTTGTTGTGTTCCTTTGGAAGTTTCATGTTTCCTTGCTTTTTCATGTTTGATGTGTCCCTTCATTGATTTCTATGCATCTGGAAGAACAGTCACCTTTCCAAATTTAGGGAGTAGGTTTTGTAAGGAAAGACTTATTCATAGATATGGTCTTTACAATGTCAGTCACTGGGGGCAGGGCCTTGATTCTAGATGGATACAGTAGTATAGTCTCCATATAGTTTCTTCAGCTGTAATCCATGCTGGTAACATTTGCAAATATCTCAGCAGCCTAGGGTGTGAGAGTTTGTGGTGGCAATGGTGCAACTTTGCTGGAGGTGGACTCACCAGGCTGTTTCTCATGTAAGGGGCACGTGCATGCATGCAGTCAATCAGCCAACTTGGGATCTGACTCACTTGGGTTTGGGCCATAGGGCTACTACTCTAGCTGGGGGCATGGGCCTACAGTTACTTGGATGGCCTGGTTGTGTGTCTGCCAAGGTTGCCCATGGGATTGCTTCTTAGACCCTTAGCACAGGCACAGAGCCATTAGGCAGACCTGGGGCATGTCTGCAGGGTAGGGGGTGCATCACAGGGCTATTTCTTAGGTCCATGAGGTAAGTACGATGCTTCTTGGCAAGCTTGGGAATGTGCCCACCAGGAGTGGCCCGTAAGGCTATATTTCTCAAGCCTGAGCCATGGGTATATGGCTACTCCTGGCCTGAAAAGAGTGTGTCTGCCAGGGGTAACCCATGGAGCTATTTCTCAGGCCTAGGTTGCAGACAAAGGTTTGCTTGGCCAGCCTGGGGGTACGTCTCCCAGGGGTTACCTGTAAGGCTGTTTCTTAGGACCTGATTGTGGGCACAGAATTGTTGGGAAGGCCAGGGGCATGTCCTTAGTGGAGGCACTTGTGGGGCTATTTCTCAGGTCCTGGGCATGGGCATGTATCTGCTCTGCAAGCCCAAGAATATGTCAGATGTTCAGTGGCTCTAGAACATCTCCTGCTTCAAGAAGGGTACACAGCAGTTTGAACAGCTCAAGGGTAGGGTCACCCTAAATGGCACTGCCAGATTGTTCCTCTGGCTAAAAGTACAGGCATTGGGGATTGGTCTCCCTGCAGGCAGACTCACAATCACAGCCAATCCTGGGCCCAGGCTCTGCACAGCTGGGATTGTAACATAGAGCCACCCATGTGGACTCAGTGGAAGAATGAAGATAAAGTCCCAATACTGGATAGGTACATGGCTACCGGCCCCTAGAACAGGACACACTCCAAAGGTAGCTCTGGTCTAACGATGGTGCCGTGCTGCAGTAGCTTGACTCACGGGGAATGAGAGTACATGGGAAGTACACACCTTGTGCTCCCAAGCCAGAGCAATGCAGCTGCATGAATTTCTAGCAGCTCCCCTAAATGGGCCCAGGGCTAGAAAGGACTGTGGAACTGTCCCATAATAATGACTGTGGGTGTTTCAGTGGTAATGGGTACTGGTCGGGTACTTCTGCTTACCTTTTCTCCACAAGGAGAAGTCCCTCTTGCCTCCCAGCTGATCTGGACAGGGGAGACAGGGATGCAGAGGCAGGATGCCTCCATGCTGCCCTCCTGGGCTTCTAGTCACTACAGGTACCTCTCCATTCTCTCACTGTCCTCATGTACTCTCCCGCTGACGCTCAAGTCAAATCTTAGCTGTTTATTTGTTACACTGGTCCTTTCTTATGGGGAAGACTACTTCCAAGTACCTCTAGCCAGCCATCTGGCCAGTCACCAGGCCCAGAATATACTATGTTTACATACAAACAAAAATTGCTAATCACTCACTTTTTTTAGTTATATTATTTTTCACAAATTATACGCTTCCATGTCCAAGACAAAATTAGAATGCTACCTCAGATTGTATTTACTCTTTTGTGGCAAAATTTCAAGGGAACATTGTTTATTGTTTATGATCCTGATATACATAGTTACTGAGTATTGTTTAAACAGCTCATCCTGTTTTTTCTCTTAATGCTGGGCCTTTGTCCATAGAGTTGTTTTTTTTTCATGTCAAATTTTTGAGAGCAAATACAAGTGCCATATCATATCTACCACACTCATAATATCCAGGGTTTCTGCTGTATCTATATATTCTCCCTTCCCCAAACTTAATATCCAGCTCTGTTGATCCAGCTAAGGTTTCTGCCACACAATTTCTTTCTGGATTTTCAAAGATGTACTTTCTCCCATGCCCCATGCCAGGAGCCCATTGTTCTAATTTAATAAATCAGTTTCAGAAAATCATTTCAGGCCAAAGCTGAAATGAACATGGCTCCTCTACTCTCATGTTACTCAGCATTTTGAGATCATTGGATCTGTTTCCCACACTTTCCAGCTTCTTCTGGCCATATCATTGCTTTCCATGTGACCCAAAAAGAGCAGGAAACTATCAATGTGTAACAAGCTTTGGTAGTTCTCCATCCCATGAGGTGAGACAGGAAGTAAGTTAGTGCTTTGTCACCTCTGTTGGCCTCTACTGGAGAGCTCCCTACAAGCTCTCTGCCCTTTCCCACCTGAACTGAAATATCATGAACCTATGAGTGTCTGAGCGTCAAGAAGAGAGTCACTAATGCTATCAACTTTTTAAAATGCTTTTTTTTAAAAAGAAATCTTGGATTTATTCTCAAAAGCAAGATGTCCATACATTTATAATAACTCTTTCGGCAGAGTTTGTTTCTCTACTTTTTCACAACTGTTACCTTTTTCATTGGATTTGAGAGCCTATATAGATATAAATTCAGTTAAAATAATCCTTCAACAATGTTATTTCCAGTTTGTCTACTATGATTCAAACACAAATGTAGATTCATTGAGGGCTTCTGTGAACTGCCTGAGCAGGGTTCCTGTCCAATTCATTACTGTACCCACTCCTCCATACCTCTTTTCTCAGTGCTGGTCACAGGTATTTGGCATACTCTCAGTACCAAGTATATGTTTCTCTAATGTTTGAATGAATGAATGAAGCTTATTTAGATTCAGAAAAAAATATTTTGATGGGTTTGAACGAAAAGGTTAGTTTTAGGACAGGCACAGTGGCTTATTCCTATAATCCCAGCACTTTGGCAGGCCAAGGTGGGAAGATGGATCAACCTAGACAACACAGAGAGGCCCAGTAGTCACTACAAGAATACTTTTAAAATTAGCCAAGCATGGTGGCATGCACCTTTAGTCCTAGCTATTTGGGAAGCTGAGGTAGGAGGATGGCTTGAGCCCAGGAGTTCAAGGCTACAGTGAGCCATGACTGTGCCACTGTACTCCAGACTGCCCAACAGGGTGAGACTTTGTCTCAAAAAAAAAAGTGGGGGGTGGGGAAATTAGCTTTAAAAAAAAGCACTTCGCCTCAGTTCTCCTTAATCACTATTGCTTTCTTGCTTTCTCAAATTGAAGTGGTTAGGGTAGAAGATATGAATAATTTACTCATTTCTGATTAAATATGTGTTTTGCATAAGGATTCATTTTTAGAAGATTTGAACTACATCATCAATTCAGGAAGAATACCTGACCTGTTTGAAAATGATGAGCTGGATTCTATTGCAATAAAGCTCAGATCTCTTACTGAACAGCCTGGTTATATGGATAATAGGCAATCTTTACTTTTGTTCTTTCAAAAGGTACCTTTTTATGCCTTGGTTTATCAAATTGTCATTTTAAAAGTAGACCATGTTTATAAGCCTGTACATGATTTTAAAGTTGGATATAATTTCTTTAGATCTTTAGATGAGTTTTTAAGATAAAGTAATGAGTATCCTACCCACAGATACACTATACCCTTAGGTAGGTCAAAAATGAACAAGAATCTAAACCTATCTGGCTATCAATGGTTTCAAAATATAATGCCAACTGGAGGCAATAAAATGAAAAATAAAATCCCAAGGGTATTTCTTACATGAAGATTCTTTCCTAGCTAATAATGTTCTTATTTTATCTTTTTGGTAACAAATCTGGAAAGGCAAGAAACAAGAATCATTTCATCCTTTTGAATAGTCCTAGAATTGACCAGGAGGTGATGGATACAAAAGAAATTGACTGGATAGAGCAGATGCTATTCAGAATGAGCTCAGTAGCAGAGGAGCTGTGAACAAACTGAACAAATTAGTCAAAATGAACTTGTATCTTTGAGACATGATGACTGACCAGTGGCTTAACGAATATATAGACATGATTACCCAAACCAGAATATTCAATGGAGAATGGATTTATTTCTGGTGCTAGTTTTTGTCTGTCATAGGGCAATTTAAAAATTGAATTTGGCCATCCACGATTTCTCAATTTAGTAACAACATTGCTAAGTATTAAATAGATGCTTAGTAATCTATCATAAGAAGATGTTTTAAAAATTCCAAATATGACTCCACAGTTGATAAAGAACAAGATGATACAAATGGATATGCTTAGATTAAGTTACATTTTTTAATACCATGGTAGAAAGAAGGATAGCATTTATCCTGACAATTGTGGCACTCTTATGCCTTGTTACTATATTTGGTTTATTCATTAGATTTGAATAATAAGGAAGAAAAAAGAAATCTCAAATTGGAATGCAGTGAATAGTACTCCAGAAAAAAAAAATAGATCAAGAATCTCAGAAATTTTAATTTTATATATAATACTATAGTATACTATACTACTCTCAGTACCTATATATATAGTGTACTGTAATACTACATATTATGTGTAATACTATTATATATTATATATATTATATCATATGAAATACGTATATAATGCTATACTTCCAAAAGTGATTTGACATGTCCTACAATAATGACAAATAATAAAGGCACACTTTAAACTGCTAACATTTGATACCTCTAGGTAGAAGTTTTGGGAATGTGTAAAAAAGAGGTATTTTCATTTTTACTTTAAACATTTCCACATTGTATGAATTTTGCACTGAGCAGTTTTATTTGCCTTTATAAATTTGTTAAACACAAAAAAGAGGGAAAAAAAATCTTACCTTTGAGTATTCTTTCAGCTTTACCATATTTATTTGACAAAATAAGTTGCTTAATACTTAAAGGTATTATCACTTTGTACAGTTAGACTGTGAGTTAAAAGAAACACTAACTCACTGAGGCTGTTTTCAATAATGCAGACTTATTGCAAAGTGATATCTGAAAATAAGGAAGAAGGAATCTGTGCCCTGTTGCCAGTCTTGCCAATAACCCAGCAACAGCAGCAGCACAGCCAGGTCTTATAAGGAAAACGGCTGAAGGCAAATTGCAGAGAAACCAGCACTTAGCCTACGGCCTGTAAAATTGTGTAGGATATCATATTGCTTAGCTGTAGGAGTTTTATTACTGCCTCCTCTGGTGCTCTACCCTTATTATCAGTCTGTTTCTTTCAGCTCTAATTCATCTGACCATTTCCTCACTTTGAGTTTCTGTGGGTCTTAAATGCACACCACTGCAGAGGAAAGAGTTAAATAGTCACACCCAGCACCACCAGATATAAAGTCCCCTACTGAACAGAACTCTAGCACCAGGTCCCGTCATAAGAGATGGTTTATGCAGAGGGTGTTCTGGGCCTCCCCTACTGTTAGTTTGCCTTGGAAGGGCTCTGTTTATGGCAGGCACTCAGTGCGCAAATGATCAGTCCCTGGTCTACCCACTAAGGAAAGATCTGAAATACGTTTTTCATGGAATTTTTAATATAATATTTTTTCAAAACAGTGGATTACATTTTAACGATTTATATTTTTGTTAATTTTCAGAGAATATATAAAAATCTTCATATTTTTGTGATCATGAGTCCTGAAGGACCTAGCTTACGCCAAAATTGTAGAATTTATCCTTCTATGATTAGCTCCTGTACAATTGATTGGTACGAGAGGTGGCCAGAAGAAGCTCTCCTTATTGTAGCTAACTCATTCTTAAAAGAAAAGGTCAATTTCGAGAACAGAGAGGTAAATATCTAATGCAAGTGAAGGTTTCAGTTTATTGACAGCATCTGTTGGTGTTATGCCTCTGAAGAGCAATGAACTCTAGATGGACAAAAATAGGCAGTTCTAAGCCAAATTATAATAGAATGGGTCAAGTGTTAACATTAACTCCCTATTAATTCCCCATCTCTTGTACACCTGAATTCAACCTATTTCAAAGATACCCAGATTCAGATTCCACAATGCCTGGGTCTCTTCACTGTGCTGTCCCCATGGTGGAACAGCAGATTTCCATGAAGGAACGATCTCCATTCTGCATACCAGATTTTATGGTAAGGATGCTGCAACCTTCTGTGTATTCTTTGTAAATTACTCTGGCTTGGCTACAAGCGCAAAATGGCAAAGCAGTGAGAGCACAAGCCACAACACAAAATTAACTCAGAATTTATGAGTCACCAGTAAGAAAGAATCTATTCTGGAGTGACTAAACTGAAGATCCCATAGGACCTAGGTGACAGCAAAGGGGTAAGAAGTGTTGACCAAAGGAGCTGTAAATGCATAGGGAACTGAAACTCAACATAGGACCTAGAAATGGGATTGCATCCTTACTTGTCTGTGATCAAGGAAAGCAAAGTCCAAGGAGGATAGAGATAAGGTAGAACCAGAGGAAAGAAAAGAAAAATGCAGCTGAGTTAAAAGTGACTAGTGATTAGTTAGACTTGGTAGACTGGAGATAGGTCATCAGGACTAGGTTATGTCTAAATCAGAAATATCTCCCAATCCAGGCAAAGAGAATATTCTTTCCACTCTGGTTTTGCTCATCTGTGTATCCTTTAGGCCCTTACATTTCTGTACCTTTATTTTGCTTAAGCAAGCTTCCTTGACTATCTTGCTATTGATAACCACTTTAAGAAAGGAGTATAAAAGATAAAGAAGGCTGGGCATGGTGGCTCACACCTATAATCCCAGCATTTTGGGAGGCCAAGGCAGGAGAATTGCTTGAAGTCAGAAGTTCAAGACCACCCTGGGTGACATAGTGAGAGCCCCATTTCTACAAAAAATTTAGATAATTAGCCAGGTGTGGTGGCAAGCATCTGTCATCCCAGCGGCTTGGGAGATTGAGGCAGGAGGATCTCTTGAGCCCAAGAATTTGAGGCTACAGTGAGCTATTGTTGCAACTGCACTTCGGCTTGGGCAAAGACCCAGTCTCAAAAAATTTTAAGATAAAGAAAACATTATAACCCTTGGCCATTGATACTGATGCCCTAAATATTTAGATGACTATAGCAAAAGTGAGAGTAACATGAGGGTAAAGCCCAGAAAGATGAGTATGGCATGCCATTCATAGTTAGCTATTCTGTTGCCCCACCACCATCCCAGCCATTAAAACTCACATTTTCTCTGTCCCGCTTATCCAGAAGTTCTCTCTACATCTCCAAATCTCAGAAATAATAAGCTATTTTAATTAAATAAAAATGTTCTATTTTCTCTTTTTGTGTATATTTGGATAACTTTCTTTTAATTCTTAAAAATTATTGTTCTTTAGAACTTGAAAGAAAAACTTGCCCCAACATGTGTCCAAATCCACAAAAGCATGAAAGACTTGAACACAAAATACTTTGAAGAAACTGGAAGATTTTATTATACCACTCCTAGTAGCTACTTGCAATTTATGGAAACATTTGCACACATTTTGAGGACACGAGAAAAGGAGATGCAAACAAAGAGGTAAGACTTTGAGACCGAATCAGAAACATATTGTATATTGGTGTTTTTACTTGCTAAAAGAGACACAAATGCAAAATGGTGAGCCCAAATCTGCCATTTTGGTGGGAGAAAAAGCCAGAAGCTGCAGAAAATCTTAAAAGAGATAAGGTTGATATTCCCCCTGTCTGCCTTCAAAGGCCGCCCCTGTCAAGGCAAGGCTGACAGACTTGGCCAATAAATAAACAATTAGTCCCTGACCGTTTATTTCCTAATCCAATTAGTTGGATTCTGACAGTTTATTTCTTACATGGGCAATGAAAGCAAGAGTAACCAACAGTGCCATTCCCAGTGTCTTTTGTCTCATGTGATAATACCGAAGCAAACTCCAACACAGGTAGTGGAACACCTACTAAGCAATTTTATAGGCAGCAGTGGTACCTGAGGAGGTGGGGGAAGATCAGGAGACACTGAGAAACTTATGACAATCTTCAGGGAAGATGAGGAAATCAGTGGGAAATGGCCTTGTAGCATCTACTCACAAATGCCCCACATTCTCATGATCTAGAAAGATCAAGGGTATCCTCCCAACACTCAGATCAGTTGCAGCGAAGCCTTGTCTATATAACCTATATGGACACATGAAAGGCTGCCAAGGGACCATAGTAGAACTATTCCTCTGCAAGTCCATCTCCTAAACCTGTCATGTATCCAGCAAATAATTCTTTTTTAAAAGTAGGCCACTCCATCAGATACCCTAACTAATTACATTGACTGGGGCCTGGGCCAGATCCATTCTATTTGCCATAGGGAACACTGCATGAGAGTGATCATGACTATGGCTCCCACTTGGAGGACAGACCATAGCTAAGCTCCCTCTCTGGAGCCAAACCAGTTAAAAATGTTATTAATCCAAGTGCATCAAGAGTTATTGGCCATTGCATATTCTCTGTCTCAGCTGGCTAGCAGGAAGTCCAGGGCAATGTGATTTTTTCATCAGCACTCATGCTGGAGAGTGTGGACTAATTTGTGTGCAGCAGGCAAGAATAGACCTGACATTTACATAAGAAGTAGCAACCTCAATAGCAGCATTTTGCTAATATGCAGTCAAGGTCTAATTTTATTAAGTTTTTGTTAACAAGGTGAGGTGGGGCATGATAGCTCCAATAACAGTTCATTTTAGAGAAGTTGAGGTAGTCTGAATATAATAATGAGGCTAAAGAGAATCATATCAGTGCTCAGCTAGTCTTGTTCTGTTTCAAGGAGAGACTGTTCATTCCTGGGGTCAGCATATCCTGGGAGGTTTCTGAAAATCCTTAGATTAAGATTTTTGTTGGTCAGCAGTTAAATTAAGGATGATGTCAACAGTCTAAGAAAATTGGCCACATGCCCTACAGACAAGAGTCAAGAGAGTTTAAGGAACCTTCCTTTTACTCCTAACCTCCTGGGATCTAAGGGGTCCCCTCCACACCACCCAGGGTTGTTGATCTCCATTCATAGCCATGTAATCAGTACAGCCAGTCCCTATCACAGTCATTCACCTCCTTTTCAGTCCTTCTCATGTCTTACTCACAACACGTCTCTAGATTGCTCAGTAGTTTCTTCTTTTACATACCTTGTAGTATCCTAAAACATCTCCCACCCCCTAAGGCATGGGCCATGCCAGAGCAATCTTAAGAGTTGTCACCTTATATGCATGATCATTATTATCAACATCCATAGCTGCTTATATCCAGCAAACATAGCTCGATGGCAAAAGACAGGTTATAGTCCCCCATTGCCCAACTCCTCTTTGCTACTTGGAAATTTCAGTAGTCCAGTTTCCCAGGGGTAGATGTGGGAGGAGAAAAAGCGAGAAGGGTTCATTATAGGGTTTGGGTCTCTTACAGCCTATCTGGTCCTCTTTCCCACCCCAAAACTTATAATTAAATATTCTATTTAAATGAGAGGTATGCCCTTCTGGGAAATTAATACAGTTAAAGCCCAACTTGCCTATCTTAAGTTTGCTCCAGTGGGAGCTGAGCCTCAGATACCCAGTTCTCAATATTAGTTTTTCCTTGAGTCTATTTTATTTTTAACGGCATCTGTTCTTCATCAAGTTGAGAAATTTCCCCTCTATTCCTAGTTATCATGAATTTTATCAAATGCTTTTTCTGCATCAGTGGACACTGATGCAGCAGTGAATTTTCTTCTTTATAGCTTGTTAATATAGTGGATTATATTGATTGACTTTCAAATTGTGAGCCAGTCTTGCAATTCTAGAATAAATTCCCTTTGGCCATAATTTGGTATAATTCTTTTTATGTATTATCAAATTACATTTACTAAATTGTGTTACATCTTATACCTTCTTAATACTTTTTTCTTCCTTCAGGGATCGCTTCTATATGGGTCTATCCACAATCCTGGAAGCAACCACACTGGTTTCAGAAATGCAAGAAGAGCTTTTGATTCTTGGTCCTCAAGTAGAACAAAAAACAAAGGTATGTTTGCTTTGAAATATCTTTTAAAGATTTTATTATCTAATGTAGAACAGTGTTTTAAAGCAAAGGCTCTGATACCTGACATAGACTAGAATTCCAGCTTTGTTACCCTATAACTGTGTACACATTTAAAAAAAAAAAAAAACTTGTTTTTTTAGTCTCAATTTATCTGTAAAATGAGAACAAAAAAGCAATAACAGCAAAATAGTGACATTATTACGTTTTGATAATTAAGTGTGATAGTAGATATATTTAGCTAACTGTAGAAGTTTATATAGAAAGATTCCCTAGTCAGTCAGTTAAATCCATCTGAAATATGTTGTGGTAACTTGCAGTCTATCAACTATCCTAAAAATCATCATTCATCCTCACTCTTTGCATGTATTGTGTGAAATATTTACTGTAGTCATCCTGGGCAATATCCCAAAGGCAGACCAATAGCGGAGAGCACCAACGGCGGGTGGAGGACAGAGCTTCTAAGAGGGGGCGCAACTGAGAGCTGGCCAAATGGTGAGAGTGCTTGCTCTCTCCATTTTATTAGTCTCTTGTTCTCTCTCATTTTGTTCATCTATTAAATATATTTCAGGCTGATTTTAATAAACTTTACAATAGTGAAATGAGATATTTGAATCACTCTTTTAGAAAAGAGATCATGTCTCTTGAAATTCATTCTAAGAACAATTATGTGGTTCATTAGGAAACAGAAACTCTAGTGGAAAAACTACGGAAAGAATCACAAGTAGTTGAGAAAGTTCAGATGCTCGTTAAACAAGATGAGGAAATTGTGGCAGAAGAAGTAAGAATTGTGGAAGATTATGCTCAGGTAAAATTAAAATACAGTCAATAAAAATAATTTGGAGATCTGAAAAAGTATTCCCTAACCCTCAAGTTTAAGAGTCAGACTGACTTTTTATAAATATGCAGTGCCCCAACTATGGGTACTTTTCATTGTAATCCCAACAATTTATTGAGTTCCTACTACACACAGGATAACATTAAATGAAAGTATGAAGTCCAAACATGCTTGATTCCTGTCCTTGAGAAACCCACAATCCTAGGAGGCTCTTCTCATTACAATGAACAGAAACTCATGCAGACCATATCAGAAATACACTTGGCCTTCAAGAGTAACATCTGCAAGAAACGAAGCAGCTCAAGGGACTGGCTATTTAGTGTGTGCTACTTCTGTTGCTAACTGAATAAACCTCTCTTTTTAAATTGGCTATTCCGCTCCATACACTCCAGTCAGGATCTTTGCAGGAGCCAGTGTAGTTTAGCAAATCACTGAATGCTCCTATCAGTAGTTATTCCTGCTCAGAGGAAGTGGAGAGTAGAGCTTATCTTCCATGCACAAAGGTTTTTAATCAAGCAACTCCACCAATTAAAAATACATATGTGAGCCTATACTCCAGTATGTATGTAAGTATTTATAGATAAATTATGTCCATGGGCTACTACCATTAGCTAATACCCCAAAGCTCAACAAATACCTAGGAAAAGGTTTATTATGAGTAACAGTGAATTTCAAAGTTTTGGTCATTTCAAAATTTTTTGGTTGGCCTCTTGTCATACCTGATTAGCTCATTATTATGTTTTTCCTTATAACATGGTTGAAGAAAAGTTTATATCAAGAATAAAAGAAGTGTCAGCCTGTCTTTTGCTTATTGTTCACTTGGGCTTCCGTTATTAGCATTGCCTTCAATCCAGTGTTTCTTTCAGGCATCTATTTAAGCTACCTGCCCATGTTTTAGGAGCTAATATTTCAAACTAGATAACAGAATAGGCAAATCCCCTCACATGGATACAGGTAAGCTGCAAAGCTTTCTAGTGTCCTGAGTGTTAATAGGGGAGGTCCCACTCCTGAGCCTTCCCAGATGGGGAGCTTCCCCTCTTCTATTAAGATGCCACCCCTCTCACTGAGTGATTCAGATACCAACCACCTGAAGGTGCCACTGTTGATCAGCATATTAAATATAAATACAGGGCCAGACATGGTGGCTCACACATGTAATCCCAGCACTTTGGGAGGCCAAGGAAAGCAGATCATGAGGTCAGAAGATCAAGACTATCCTGGCCAACATGGTGAAACCCTGCCTCTACTAAAAATACAAAAATAAGCAGGGTGTGATGGCGCGCACTTGTAATCGCAGCTACTCGGGCGGCTGAGGCAGGAGAATCACTTGAACCCAGGAGGTGGAGCGAGACTCCATCTCAAAAATAAATAAATAAATAGAGTATGGCTTAATTTCCGTCTTTAATATTTTATGCCAAATAAAAAATGGATAGAGAAATTCATAGATTTTTTTTGTTTTTGCTTTGCTTTATTTTGTTTTGTTTTTTGCCATACCATAAAGGGTAATCTTTTTTTCTCCCTGGCTTCAGCAGCAAAGCCAGATACATTAGGACCTGGGGCCATATTTTTAAAAAGAATACAAAATTTCTAGTACACAATTAGATATGAAAGTGAATGTGTATTTAGAATAAGTAAATCAAAACAAAATATAAAATTTTAAGTTGACAATTATCACAGACATCACAAAATCTAGAAAATTCCCTCAGACACTCCTATAATACTTTTAAAAATTTTTAAATTTTACTTTAAGTCTAGAATACATGTGCAGAACACGCAGATTTGTTGCCTAGGTATACATGTGCCAGGGTAGTTTGCTGCACCCATTAACCTGTCATCTACATTAGGTATTTCTCCTAATGCTATCCCTCCCCTTGACCCCCACCCCGACAGGCCCCAATGTGTGATGTTCCCCTCCCTGTGCCCATATGTTCTCCTTATTCAACTCCTACTTCTGAGTGAGAACGTGTGGTGTTTGGTTTTCTATTCCCGTGTTCGTTTGCTGAGAATGATGGTTTCCAGCTTCATTCATGTCCCTGCAAAGGACATGAGCACATTCTTTTTTATGGCTGCATAGTATTTCATGGTGTATATGTGGCACATTTTCTTTATCCAGTCTAACATTGATGGGCATTTGGGTTGGTTTCAAGTCTTTGCTATTGTGAATAGTGCTGCAGTAAACATACATGTGTATGTGTCTTTATAGTAGAATGATTTCTAATCCTTTGGGTATATGCCCAGTAATGAGATTGCTGGGTCAAATGGTATTTCTAGTTCTAGATCCTTGAGGAATCACCACACTGTCTTCCACAGTGTTTAAACTAATTTATACTCCCACTAACAGTGTAAAATTGTTCTTATTTCTCCACATCCTCTCCAGCATCTGTTATTTCCTGACTTTTTATGATCGCCATTCTAACTGGCATGAGATGGCATCTCATTGTGGTTTTGATTTGCATTTCTCTAATGACCAGTGATGATGAGTTTTTTTCATATGTTTGTTGGCTGCAAAAATGTCTTCTTTTGAAAAGTGTCTATTCATATCCTTCGCCCACTTTTTGATGGGGTTGTTTGTTTTTGTCTTGTAAATTGGTTTAAGTTCCTTGTAGATTCTGGATATTAGCCCTTTGTCAGATGGATAGTTGCAAAAATTTTCTCCCATTCTGTGGGTTGCCTGTTCACTCTAATGATAGTTTATTTTGTTTTGCAGAAGCTCTTTAGTTTTAATTAGATCCCATTTGTCAATTTTGGTTTTTGTTGCCATTGCTTTCTTTTGGTGTTTTAGTAATGAAGTCCTTGTCGGTGCCTATGTCTTGAATGGTTTTGCCTAGGTTTTCTTTTAGGGTTTTTATGGTTTTAGGTCTTATGTTTAAATCTTTAATCCATCTTGAGTTAATTTGTGTATAAGGTGTGAGGAAGGGGTCCTGTTTTATCTTTCTGCCTATGGCTAGCCAGTTTTGCCAACACTATTTATTAAATAAGGAATCCTTACCCCATTGCTTGTTGTTGTCAGGTTTGTCAAAGATCAAATGCTCATAGATGTGTGCTGTTATTTCTGAGGCCTCTGTTCTGTTCCATTGGTCTATATATCTGTTTTGGTACCAGTACCATGCTGTTTTTATTACTCTAGGCTTGTAGTATAGTTTGAAGTCAGGTAGCATGATGCCTCCAGCTTTGTTCTTTTTGCTTAGTGCTTTCTTGGCTATACAGACTCTTTTTTAGTTCCATATGAAATTTAAAGTAGTTTTTTCTTTTTCTTTTTTTTGAAACAGAGTTTCGCTCTTGTTACCCAGGCTGGAGCACAATGGTGCAATCTCAGCTCACCACAACCTTTGCCTCCCAGGTTCAAGCGATTCTCCTGCCTCAGCTTCCCGAGTAGCTGTAATCCCGAGGGATTACAGGCATGCACTACCACACCCGGCTAATTTTGTTGTATTTTTAGTAGAGATGGGGTTTCTCCATGTTGATCAGACTGGTCTTGAACTCCTAACCTCAGATGATCCTCCCGCCTCAGCCTCCCAAAATTTCTGCCAGAAGATCTGCTGTTAGTCTGATGGGCTTTCCTTTGTGGGTAACCCACCCTTTCTCTCTGGTTGACCTTAACAGTTTTTCCTTTATTTCAACTTTAGTGAATCTGATGATTTCGTGTCTTGGGGTGTCTCTCCTTGAGGAGTATCTTTGTGGTGTTCTCTGTATTTCCTGAACGTTGAATGTTGGCCTGTCTTGCTAACATTCTGGGGAAGTTCTGAATAATGTTCTGAAGTGTGTTTTCCAACTTGGTTCTACTCTCCCCATCACTTTCAGGTACACCAATCCAGTGTAGGTTTGGTCATTTCACGTAGTTCCATATTTCTTTGAGGCTTTGTTCAGTCTTTTACATTCTTTTTTCTCTAATCTTGTCTTCACACTTTATTTCATTAAGATGATCTTCAATCTCTGATATCCTTTCTTCCCCTTGATCAATTCGGCTATTGATACTTGTGTATGCTTCAGGACGTTCTCGTGCTGTTTTTCAGCTCCATCAGGTCATTTATGTTCTTCTCTAAACTGGTTATTCTAGTTAGCAATTCCTCTAACCTTTTATCAAGGTTCTTAGCTTCCTTGAATTGGGTTAGAACATGCTTCTTTAGCTCTGAGGAGTTTGTTGTTACTCACCTTCTGACACCTACTTCTGTCAATTTGTCAGACTCATTCTCCATTCAGCTTAGTTCCCTTGCTGGCAAGGAGTTGTGATCCTTTGGAAAAGAGACATCTGGTTTTTGGCATTTTCAACCTTTTTATGCTGGTTTTTCTTCATTTTGTGGATTTATCTACCTTTGGTCTTTGTTGTTGGTGACCTTCAGATGGAGTTTGTGTGGTCATACTTTTTGTTGATGTTGATGCTATTGCTCTCTGTTTGTTAGTTTTCCTTCTAAAGTCAGGACCCTCATCTGCAGATCTGCTGAAGTTTTCTGAGGGCCCACTCCAGACCCTTTTTGCCTGGGTATCACCCATGGAGGATGCAGAACAGCAAAGATTGCTGCCCGCTCCTTCCTCTGGGACACCTGTCACATGCCAGCCAGAGCACTTTCTGTATGAGGTGTCTGTCAACCCCTGCTGGGTGGTATCTCCCCATCAGGAGGCACGGGGTCTGGGCTCCATTTGAGGAGGCAGTCTGTCCCTTAGCAGAGCTCAAACACTGTGCTAGGACATCTGCTGCTCTCTTCAAAGTCAGCAGGTAAGAACATTTAAGTCTGCTGAAGCTGCACCCGTAGCCGCCCCTTCTCCCAGTTGCTCTGTCCCAGAGAAATGGGAGTTTTATCTGTAAGCCCCTGACTGGGGCTACTGCCTTTCTTTCAGAGATGGCCTGCCCAGAGAGCAGGAATCTAGAGAGGCAGTCTGGCTACAATGGCTTGCGGCACTGCAGTAGGCTCTGCCCAGTCTGAACTTCTTGGTAGCTTTGTTTATACTGTCAGGGCAAAACCACCTCTTCAAGTCTCAGTAAAGGCAGAGGCCCCCCTACCTCCACCAAGCCCAAGCATCCCAGGTTGACTTCAGGATGCTATGCTGGCAGCAAGAATTTCAAGCCAGTGGATGTTAGTTTGCTGGGCTCTGTGGGGGTGGGATCCACTGAGCAAGACCACTTGGCTCCCTGGCTTTAACCCCTTTTCCAGGGGAGTGAATGGTTCTGTCTCACTGGTGTTTCAGGTGCCACTGGGGTATGGAAAAAAAAAAAAAAAAAAAACTCCTGCAGCTATCTCAGTGTCTGCCCAAATGACCACCCAGTTTCATGCTTGAAACCCTGGGCCCTGGTGGTATAGGCACCCGAGGGAATCGCCTGGTCTGTGGGTTGCAAAGACCATGGGGAAAGCATAGTATCTGGGCCAGAGTGCTTCGTCCCTCACAGCACAGTCCCTCATGGCTTCCCTTGACTAAGGGTGGGAGTTCTCCAACCCCTTGAACTTCCCAGATGAGGCAACACCACTCTGCTTTGGCTCACCCTCTGTGGGCTTCACCCACTGTCTAACCAGTCCCAGTAAGATGAACCAGGTACCTCAGTTGGAAATGTGGAAATCACCCAACTTCTGTGTTGGTCTTGCTGGGAGCTGCAGACCAGAGCTGTTCCTATTCGGCCATCTTTCCCCAATCATGCCACACTCCCGTAATACTTTTTTTCTGCATTTTCTCACTGCATATTCTGTGATCATTCCTTCATATGATAATGATTATGTAATATCATTTCCTAAAAAATCTTTAGCAGAATTGATCATATGTTTTTCTTTTTCGATACGTTAGAAGTTTCTTTCAACTTTGTAAGTTATTATTGACAATGACATAAACATTTATAGGACTGCTATCACATTTGTTATAAGCAACAATGGCTTTTCAAGATTTATTGTGCAGTGATTAATTTCAAATACTGTGTGGGTGGGCCGGGCGCAATGGCTCACACCTGTAATCCCAGCACTTTGGGATGCCAAGGTAGTCAGATCATGATGTCAAGAGATCGAGATCATCCTGACCAACATGGTGAAACCCCATCTCTACTAAAAATACAAAAATTAGCCGGGTATTGTGGTGCATGCCTGTAATCCCAACTACTCAGGAGGCCGAGGCAGGAGAATCACTTGAACCTGGGAAACAGAAGTTGCAGTGAGCCACTGCACTCCAGCCAGGCAACAAGAGCGAGACTCCAGCTCAAAAAAAAAAAAAAAATTCAAATACTGTTTGAATCAATGACATTCATTAACCAGTTTTCCATCAATGTCCTCATTATAACAGTGTTTTCTGATATTTATGTTATTTTCATTAATGTCAATTTCTGGAAAATGCAACAAGAAATTTAAATTTTTCCAATGTGATCATATGTTTCCTTCTTCTTCATTACTTGGATAATTACACAAACCAAGAGCTACTTTATTACTTATGCTCTAAATTTATTTTTTCTTTTTAATAAATTTTTGTTTTTGGTATGATCCGAAATTTTTATTATGATTTTCTCCTCAATATCAGAATAACCCCTACTGATTTTAGCACTTTTGTTTCCTATTTTTCACATTTTTATCTTAATTATATATGTGTCAATAAAATTGTTTCATTCTAAAAGAAGGTATCTCTCACATATCTACGTGAGAAATCTGTAATTTCTTACTTCATTGAAACACTCCAAAACATCTTTCCAAATGCAGTAAGCATTTCTTCAAAACCCAAGAATTCTGGTGAATTTGATTTCATACAACTCCCACTTAAAAAAAAAAAAGTATGGCAGATTTAAAATAGTATATACTGCTTATCAAGTATACTCAAAATGAAGTTCCATTTTGCAAAGGTATCAATGAAAATCTAACCCTCCACTTACAATTTTATACATCTAATAAGTAGAAATATTTCCACAGAGTAGCGTCTAGATCCATACATTGTAAACCTCATCTCTCCTATACTAACCCGAGACTTCTGGCGCCAGACCCTATAGGACAAGTTTCTATTACAGTATGACCTCTGGGCTTAATGTTACCTCACCAGAAAAGTTAGAACAGCAGAAAACAGAAGCATTTCTGGAAGTCATTCCTATTTCAGACAGCTTACAGTAGCTTTATTTTATAGGGAAGTAACTGTTAGCAATATAAATATAATTCCCAACTCAACTTCTTAGCCAGATCCCAAAATGTCCATAGCCACTATGGCACCTGATGTGCTATGAAACCTGACAAAAAGTGAGGCAAAATGCAAAGAGAAATCATTCCTAATTGATTGCAGTTCAAACGTCTTACTTTTGTAAAATGAAAACATATGAGCTTGCAAACATATTGGCAGGGCTCCTTGCACAGCCTCGGAAGGGGTGTGTGCAAGTGAGAGGCTGAAGTTTAATAAGCTTCGTAGCTTCACAGTAATTCTGCCTTTAACTGGACCATTCCTCAAGAAGGCATTGTTAATTCTACCCTGAGTCTAAGAGAAGGCGGAAATCACTCAGTGTTTTTGCTTCCCGTGGATACCTTCTCATCAAGGATTGAATCATTTACAGTTTAGGACTATGACACACCTTTCCAACAGTGTAAGCATGTGTGCATATATCCGAGTCATACAAGATGCATAACTTATGGGCATTGTAAAAATGTCAAATTATATTTTCCAAGTTCAGCATATAAAAATTTTAAATATGCAACTGTATTCATTCATACATATTTGAAGAGCTATTTTTTATTGCAGAAAACTGCCAATGAACTAAAAAGTGTGCTGCCAGCCTTAGACAAGGCAATTTTGGCTCTAAATGCCCTGGATAAAGCTGATGTTGCTGAATTAAGGTAACTCTCCTAAGTTTCTTTTGAGTTGGAAAAGCTCAGGAAAAAAAAACCATAAATTAATGTTTACTAAGCCTATATTCCATTTCTTAATCTTGGTTTAAGATTTTTTGCTCTTCTTGGTAACTTTAAGTTTTCATTAAGTGTGGTATATACTGTATCTTATCAATTTTATGATGTCTTCAATTATAAGGCATACCAGTATTTTTTGTGTCCTTAAGAAAAAAATGCTCCCAGTTAAACTGTGATGTGCTGTTTGTTATAAATTCAGTCTCAATCTCTTTGATGTAAAATGTGCATCTTAAAATTGACAAAATACAATATTACCTGGCCTGCAGTTCCAAAAATAAAAAGGCAATATTTATGTATTGTAAACTGCTGCTTGTACCAGTTTAGCTACAGCTTTTGGGATCTGTACGAATGTACTCATATCTGAGACTGCAAAGTTGGACATTACCACAGGTGTCACTATGGGAAGTGTGTGAAGTGCTTCCCCTTGCTGCGTCCTGTCCCAAACTTGATCAGGGGTAGGGCTGTGGGTTAATGATTAAAGAGAATACATAAGAAAATACAGGAAGAAATGAAACATTTTAGTGTACAAAGATCTGATCCTGTTAGTGCTCATTTGAATCTTTGGGTGAGACAATTTTTAGCTTGAGTTCCTCAACTCAACAAACAATGGGAACCTAACTGTAACATCTTGGAATGTGTTAAGTTTTCCACTATTTATAGAAAATAGTATTTTAATAAAATGTGGAAATATGGAACAAATCTACCATGATATTTATAACACATTATTAGCTCTTGTGGTAAGAATAAAAAATAGCAGAATTTTTTGTGTATTTTTATGATGAACAGATCATATGACAATGCTGAAGTTAATGTACCTGAAACTGAAAAACTGCAGCAGAGAAACAAGCAAGAGGAGGGAGAATTCTTGACTTTCTTTCCTTTCATTCCTAAGCACACATTCTCATGCACTCATTTATTTATCAATTCAGCAAATATCTTGAGCACACACTAAGTGCCAGGCCCCATTCTAGGCACTGAAGTTGTAGCAGTTAACGCTTGCAGAAACCATTCCTGATGAGGTGACATTAGAGCAGAGAACTGAATGAAATTTGGAAGTAAGCTAGACATATATCCAGAGGAAAAGTGTTCCAAGCAGAGGAAATGGAAAGCATGAAAGTCTGAAGACAGAAATGTGCTTCTTGGGTTTCAGGAACTACAAAAGACCAAGATGACTAAAGCTCAGTGAGCAGGAGGGAGTGTCAGGAGATGATATTAGAGAAGTAACATGGGCCAGTCCTTCCCCAGCACAGCCCCCCATGTACCTCATGACTTTGTTCCAGAAGGTTCTATTCTCTTAGCTTTTTTCCTAGCAGATATTCCCAAGAGAGTGGTCAGTTCAAATTCCCTTTAGCCTAATTTCTGAGGGGCAGTGTTTCATAGTGGTTAAGCACATGGGCTCTGATGCCAAGCTTCCTGGCTTGGAATCCTGGCACTGCCACTTTCTGGCTGTATAATTCTTTGCCACTTTGCAACATGAACCAGTAGTGAGTAAGCTTCCCTTTTGTGCAACAGTGATTGCAGATGTTGAAAAGACTGAATAAGCTGAATGAGTTAATACAGGTAAAATGCTTAGAACAGAGGCCGGCATAAGTCAACTGCTCAGTAAAGATTACTTTCGTAATAAGAGGTTTCCTCTGATCAAGTAGGCCCTTTCCCCTGCCCTAGTAATACTACAAACGCTAAAAAAAAAAGCAGCCTTGTCCTTGAATTCCTTGAGTATGCCCTATTTGTTTTTAAAGATCCTCCTTTGTGATATTGCTAATGTGCATTTTACTTGCTTACTCCAAAATGCCCACAAATGAGTATGCCTTATAACCTGATCTCCGTTGCTATTCTTGAACATGCAGCAGAGACAGCTTACTACAGCCTCTGCTTCCTAGGTCCAAGCAAGTCTCCTGCCTCAGCCTCCCGAGTAGCTGGGACTACAGGTGCTCACCACCATACCCAGCTAATTTTTGTATTTTTATAGAGATGGGGTTTCACCATGTTGGCCAGGCTGGTCTTGAACTCCTGACCTCAAGTGATCTACCCACTTCAGCCTCCCAAATTGCAGAGATTACAGGCATGAGCCACCATGCCCAGTTCAAAACTTTTTATAAAAAACTAATTCTTCTCTAACTCAGATGTAGTACTTATTTAGGTTTTATGCATTTCATCTTCCTAAAACAAAGATATCGTTATATTTAAGATACGCAATTTTCAAAAGATACCTAAATAATTAAATAGCTATATGTTGACAAATAGTTTTTCTTATCCAAATATGTGTTAAAAATCTGTGTATATTGTCTTCTGAGATATTTACAGGGTGCATTTGATTTTTAATTGTGAAGTTGTTAGATTTTCATCATCTATTACAGAGTATACACAAGGCCTCCCTTCCTCGTACTGACTGTCATGAATGCAGTGTGTATTCTTCTGCAAAAGAAACCTAACTGGGCAACAGCAAAATTACTTCTTTCAGAAACTGGTTTCCTGAAAAAATTGATTAACCTTGACAAGGACAGCATACCTGATAAGGTAAAAAGTTTATCTCCAATTGATGCAGCTCATATTTATAGTCTGTGGGGTCAAACAGACCACCTGCCATCTAAATTGTTCTATTCTTAGATGGAGAAACTATTCTCTAGGAAAATAGTTCTATTCTTCCAGGCAAGAGAAGAGATGCCCAATTGGAAACGGAAAAGGAATCTCAGCCTGAGAAAACTTTCATTCTGATTATGGCTCCCAAAAGTAGATGAGAAATACTATATATCTAACTCTAAACTGTGTGATACCATTTAGAAATAGAGGTGGACCTGCGGGCAGGTTGACACAGCTAAGCTAGAGAACATCCTCAGTGAACCCCAGTGTGCTGCCCCAGGCCACACCACCATCACTGACCTTTGAATAGGGACTGTGCCCTGCCAATATGCCACTGGGGGACAGAAGGTAAAGGTTGGTATTCCCAGTCACCTCATGCCTGATGTACACAAGGAGACTTCAGAATTTTTAAACATTAAATTCCTAAAGCTGGAGAAAGTTAACCTGTTTTGTTTTTGTTTTAAAATAGTTTCTTTTTTAAAACTATAGCAAAACTAGTGCAACATCAGTAGCAATCGCAGGATATTTATAACAAACGCTTTTTCTCTCCTGGTACCAGGGTAATTTTTTTTTTTTTTTTTTTTTTTTTTTTTTTTGAGACAGAGTCTCTCTCTGTCACCCAGGCTGGAGTGCAGTGGCACGATCTCAGCTCACTGCAACTTCCACCTCCCGGGTTCAAGCAATTCTCCTGCCTCAGCCTCCAGAGTAGCTGGGACTACAGGCATCTGCCACCATGCCCAGCTAATTTTGTATTTTTAGTAGAGATGGGGTTTCACCATATTGGTCAAGCTGGTCTCGAATTCCTGACCTTGTGATCCAACCCCACCCCCAGACCCCTCAGAGTGCCGGGATTACAGGTGTGAGCCACCGTGCCCAACCACTAGGATCATTTTTGTACCCAGGTATGTGTCTTTGATTCTACTGTTGAAGATAAGTTAATTTTTTTTAAGATGGAGTCTCACTCTGTGCACTTGCTGGAGTGCAGTGGCACGATCTTGGCTCGCTACAACCTCCACCTCCCGGGTTCAAGTGATTTTCGTGCCCTAGCCTCCCCAGTTGCTGGGATTATAGATGTGTGCCACCATGCCCAGCTAATTTTTGTGTATTTAGTAGAGACAAGCTTTCACCATCTTGGCCAGGTTGGTCTCATACTCCTGACTTCTGGTGATCCACCTGCCTCGGCCTCCCAAAGTGCTGGGATTACAGGTGTGAGCCACCATTCCCAGCCCAAATATTTTTATATGAAATAAAATTTCAATCTAGTGTAGACTGGGGAAAACTTCAAGTGAATAATATTTCTTTCTCATGTGATACATTAACTGTATACTCTCTAGGTTTTCATGAAGCTAAAAAAAATTTTAACCTTACCTGATTTCAACCCAAACAAGATTGCGCTGGTTTCTGTTGCTTGTTGCTCCATGTGCCAGTGGGTTATTGCTCTGAATAACTACCATGAAGTACAAAAGGTATGCTTTTCCTCCTAAACATCTGTCATGATTTGGAAGTGGCACATCAACATGCCAGAAGTGATTTTTATTTAACAATCCTCAAATGAACTTGAGTGGAAAAGATTCCTAAGGAGAAACACTTTCATGGAATATATTATTCTAACTCACACAGATGTCAAGTGCTTCTATTAAATTTGTTATTTATTGACAACTATGCTAGTATTTGCTTATTTTAATGTTTCACCGATAGGCTATTTTATACCCCACATATACACATAATTCTAGGAAACTTTATTTGTAATGATTGACATCTGTAAATGTCTTTCAAATACAAATAGCAATTTTAACAGTAAATCTGTCTTTTTCCACACTTAAATGTTCTGACATTCTCTTTTAGGTTGTGGGCCCTAAACAAATCCAAGTGGCTGAAGCTCAAAGTGTCCTTAAAATTACACGACAAAGACTGGCTGAGAAACAAAGAGGTTTACAGCTGGTAAGAAATACTTTTGTTCAATTCTCAAAATAAGACAAAACACCAAGACGATGTAGTTAACTCAGAAAAGCTTATTCGTTTCAGATAAAATGGGAATAATAATATAGGATGTGAAAAGATTAATTGTGAGGATGAAGTTAATAATATTGATAATGTTATTAATAATATGTGTAAAACTTTTAGTACCTACCACATAATAAAACGCTCTGTAAAGTTTGTTATTATTGTCTTTATAAAATTATTAATTTACTATTTCACCAACTTTCTCTCAGGAGATCTTTACAACTTCAGTTTACCAAAGCCTTAAACAATATCAATCTGTGTTCTTTTTTTTTTTTCCAATCTGTGTTCTTTAAAAAAAAAAAAAAAAACTGTACTTTGCCAGGTGCAATAGCTCACACCTATAATCCTAGCACTTTTGGAGGCTGAGATAGATGGATCACCTGAGGTCAGGAGTTCGAGACCAGCCTGGCCAACATGGTGAAACCATGTCTCTACTAAAAATATACAAATTAGCCAGGCTTGGTGGCGGGAGCCTGTAATCCTAGCTACTCAGGAGGCTGAAGCAAGAGAATCACTTGAACCCGGGAGAAGGAAGTTACAATGAGCCAAGATTGCGCCATTGCACTCCAGCCTGGGAGACAAGAGCAAAACGCTTTTTCAAAAAAAAAAAAAAAAAACTCTACTTAACCTGTTTATATCACTATACTGTTTCTTGGCAAATGCATGATTATTCCTTAAATGTCTTGATTTTAAATTAAAATATAGTATCATTATCATTGTGAGAACTGGAACTAGAATTGATATCCCTGTTACCTATTTAGCTCACATACATTTTGAGAGTGGGCAAAGTACTGCATTCCAGAGATGGCAAACTAACAGGGAAATTTAATACATTGACATCTTTTGGCCTATTACAGTCTCCCCACCCCTCACCTCATTTTGATATAATCAGCATTTTTAAATCTAGGGACTTTACTTAGTATCTGATTTTCTGTTTTTTCCTGAAAACTCAGATAGCTGGCAACTCTGGGTTAGCATTCCCACTTGGCTGTAATCAGCCCACCTTACTTCAAGTATTTCTGCCACCTGCTTGGCCCCACTGGCATTTCTGGTAAACTGAGATATAATAAAGGGATTGGATATTTTTGAAGAAAATAAACAAATTAGAACTGAATTTATATAGCTATATCATTTATTGCTAATATTTTATTGTAGCTTATAGTCTATAGAGTTTTGTTTTGATAGTTGTTGATAATAGTTAATGTTTATTTAGCACTTACTGTGTTCCAAGCACTAAGCTCATTTAATCCTCATTTAATCCTCACAGCATTTTGAAGTAGATGTTTATAAATGGGAAAACTAAATTTTAAAGATTTAGTAAATTTGTTCAAAGTCTTAAACTAATAAGTGATGGTGCCCATGTTCTAACCAAGGTCTGTCTAACTCTAAAGCCCATGCACTTAATGGGCTTTTACGCTACTACACTTTAAAATATTTCTATCTAGAAGTGATACCCAAATATTCAGCAACCAGTGTGGCATAGGCACCAACTGATCAGAATGGACGTTTGTCATGCAGGTAGAAGCAGAGTCTTGGAAGCCTCCCAATGAGTTTGAAGAGAAGGTATGGGGCCAGACTGGGCAATGTGTGGTTGCAGAGGTGCTTCCTGGGACCTAGAGCAGGACCCTTTAGCAATCACCACAGGAATATGTCAACATTTCACAGTTGCGCCTAGGTAGTGCATGCCACTGAATATCAGCCCTATATCTGTCCCAGAATGAAAGAAGCCCAAGAAAGGAAAAAGAATTTTTTTCAAAACTTTAAGAAAAATACATTTGAACATTATACAATTTGGAAAAACAGGGCATTCAAGAAGAAATAATTTTTAGTTTACTGAAACTGTTCCTTTTTTGCAACGATTACTAGAAACTCTGGGTAAGTAAATTTTAAAACCTGAATGATATGCCCTGTTTTCTAGAACATTTCAGTCACTAAAAGTCAATTTTAAAAAAACTCGAAAGCTTAAACAATCCAAAAATCATGGATTTAAAAAGGAAATCATAGATAGAACAACCAGAAAGAAGACAAGGAAATAAAGAACTTGAACAACTTAGTAAACCAATTACACCTAACAGACATACTCAGACTACTCCACCACCACCAACAAGATACACACTCTTCTTAAGTGCAAATGAGCTTTTCTCCAGAATAGACTATGTGTTAGGTCACAAAGTAAGCCTCAATCGATTTTAAAAGATATATGCCATAAAAGCATCCTGTCTGGCGATAATACCATGAAGTTTGAAATTAGTAACAGAGGAAAAATGGAAAATTTACAAGTAGGAGTAACGCATTCTTTACTAACTCATTCTTTGACCCTGTGGGTCAAAAAAGCAACCACAAAGGAAATTAGAAAATACCTAGAGACAAAGAAATATCAAATATAACAACCAAAACAAATGGGATGCAGCAAAGGAAATGCTCAGAGGGAAATTTATAGTTGTAAATGCCAACATTTAGATAGATAGATAGATAGATTATAATAATTTTTATATATTTATATATAAAATAATTTATACATATGTATAATAATTTATACATATATATATATATATATATATATAAAATCAGTAAACTAACTTCACACCTGAAGGAACTAGACAAAGAACAAACCAAACCCAAAGCTAGCAGAAGAAAAGAAATAATTAAGATTAGAACAGAAGTAAACAAAATAAATAGAAAAAAAAACAATAGTGAAAAGCAATGAAACCAAAGTTGGTTCTTTGAAAAGATCATCAAAATGAACAATCCTCTAGGGAAAAAAAAGAGAGAAAGAGAAGAAAGAACTTCTAGACTTCAAAACAGGTCTTTTTTAATGAACCAGTCGGATAAAAAAGAAAAAGACATAATTTTAAAGAATGAAAAAAAAAAAGCCTTCCTTACATATGGGACCCCATCAAGTGAAAAAAATATTCAGATCTTGGGGGTTCCAAGAGAAGAGATGAGAAACAGCATCAAAAACCTATTTAGTAGAATAATTTCTGGAAAATTCCCAAGTCTTAAGAGAGATATAGACATTCTGACTCAGAAGCTCATAAATCCCCAAAGAGATTTAACCCAAACAGTTCCTCTCTCAGATGCATTATAGTCAGACTGTCAAAAGTCAAAGAGAAAATTCCAAAAACAGCAAAAGCATCATGTCACATACAAGACAATTACCATCAGAGCAACAGCAGATTACTCAGCAGAAATTTTACAGGCAAGGGAAGAACGTGTATTTAAACACTGTTATTTGTTTTTAATTTTAATATTTTTAATGGTAGGGGAAAAAAGGTAAACTGTACATTCCAACCAGAGCCACATTACCTTCCATCTCTCAACCACAGGCTTCATGAGAAGTTTCTAGTATTTGAACTCATTAAAATCCAATTAATATGCTTAAACTGTTTATTATTTACACTTAATATTTTAAAACTTAGCTTAGTAGTTAACTCCATCAGTTTTAAGCCCCTTGTGGAAATTTTCTCCTCACTCAACTACATACTTCCTTCCATTTTAAAAATAGGTCTTTTGTTTGCCTGAACCCTAATATAAAAAAATATTTCTGGAAAATCTAAGGAACTTTGAGGAAAAAACAATGCCAGAGCTTGTTAAATCACGTGGACATTCATCAAAAACATTACCTTTGGGGACTGCAACGCTCATCATATAATAGACATTTCATATGTTTAAGTTAATTAATAGGTCCCTTGTGTTAATAGTAACTCACTGGGTCATAAGTAACATGAAAGAGCTTTTCTCAAAGGTATCAAAATGGGTGAATGAGCAAGCAGACAAAAACAACATAATATATGAAACAGCAAACAACCCATAATCATGGGTGAGCCAGAAGTAAATTCTAAATCATCAAACATACCAAAAGTACCATATATATTTTTTAATTAGTTATATATTTTCACCAGGATAGCATCTTAAAAATAGAAGTTACAAATCATAATAAGCACAATTTTGTCTTTATAATTAAGTGTGCTGTACGTACCATGTTCAAGTCTCCATGTTAAACCCTCAACATAAGGGTTAATAAGACCATAAGACCACAACCCAAGAGATAATGTCAGGAAACTTAAAGTTACTTCTCAAACAACTGTTATAAACAATACATCAGTGTAGATTTGACAAGACTAAGACTTCATGACAGCTGGAAGTTGATCAGTATTTTACAGAATGCCTGGGGTTTATACCCCTTTAAGGGAAGGGCCAAGGTATAAAGGATGTGAGCCAAATCCCAGAGACAAGAAGCTTACAGATGTTAGGGAGATACAGAATGAACCAATTTGGCTAAAGAGTAATATAACTGGAAAGGAGTAATAAAGAAGATGAAATTGGGAAGGAAAGCTGGGGTCAAGTTGTGGGAGGCATCAGTTGACAGCCAAAACTTTGGACTATATTCTTAATCCATTATTTCTATAAGAATTCACCAAATGCTTTTGAGCAGGGGTGTAATCAAGATAAGTAGTAATTTAAGAAAATTATTTCAAGGAAAAGACAGTGTCTTCAATAAATGGTGCTGGATATCCATATGCAGAAGAATGAAACTAGACCCCTATCTCTCACTATCAAAATGAATTTCAGACTTAAATCTAAGACCTCAAACTATGAAATTACTATGAGAAAACATTGGGAGAAATCTCCAGGACATGGGCCTGGGCAAAAATTTCTTGAGTAATACCCCACAAGCACAGGTAACCAAAACAAACATGGGCTAATGTGATCACATAGAGTTAAAAAGCTTCTGCACAGTAAACAATCAATAAAGTGAAGAGACAGTCCACAGAATAGGAGAAATGATTTGCAAACTACCCATCTGACAAGGGATTAATAACCTGAATATATAAGGAGCTCACACATCTCTATAGGGAAAAATCTAATAATCCAATTTGAAAATGAGTAAAAGACTTGAATTGATATTTCTCAAAAGAAGATATACCAGTGGAAAGCAGGCATATAAAAAGATGCTCAACATCATTGATCATCAGAGAAATGCAAATAAAAACTACAATGAGAAATTATATCACCCTAATTAAAATGACTTTTATCCAAAAGATGGGCAATAACCAAATGCTGACAAGGATGTGGAGAAAAGGGAGCCCTTATACTCTGTTGGTGGGAACATAAATTAGTATAACCACCATGGAAAAGTTTGGAGGTTCCTCAAAAAACTAAAAATAGAGCTACCATATGATCTAGCAATTCTACCAGAGTACCCCAAAGAAAGGAACTTGTATATTGAAGAGATAACTGCACTTCCATGTTTGTTGCAGCACTGTTCACAATAGCTAAAATTTGGAAATAATCTAAGTGTCCATCAACAGATGAATGAATAATGAAAATGTTGTACTTATACACAATGGAGTACTATTCAGCCATTAAAAAGAATGAGATCCTGTCATTTGCAGCAGCATTGATGGAACTGGAGGTCATTATGCTAAGTGAAATAAGCCAGGCACAGCACAGAAAGACAAACATTGTGTGTTCTCACTTATTTGTGGGATCTAAAAATCAAAACAATTGAACTCATGGAGATAGAGGGCAGGAAGATGGTTACCAGAGGCTGGGAAGGGTAGTGGGAAGGTCTGAGGGAGGTAGGGATGGTTAATGGGTATGAAAAACAGAAAGAATGAATAAGACCTAGTACATGATAGCACAACAGGGTGATTATAGTCAGTAATAATTTAATTGTACACTTAAAAATAACTAAAAGAGTATAACTGGATAGTTTGTAACACAAAGATAAATACTCGAAGGGATGGATACCCCATTCTCCATGTTGTGATTATTATGCATTGTATCAAAACATCTCGTGTGCCCCCTAAATATATATACCTACTATGTACCCACACAAAAAAATAAAAAATTATTTTGTCAGCTATTCATGAAAATTTGTTTTCCACTAACACTGCAAGGATGGTTTAACAATCAATTCATCATACAGTTTAAATTCAAAAATTCATTTGGTTCTCTGGTCTGTTCAGAACATCTGAGGTGAAAAAAAGTTCAACTATTTTCTCAGAAAAAGAATCTAAATAAGATATAAAATTTTCCTTGTAAAACATGTCAGAAATTGATGAATCTACAAATGTTAGGATTGTTTTTTAAAAAGCATATTAAAGAAGCAAGATGGCATTTTAAAAATAAACAAATTTCAATATCAAAGAATCACTTCATTTCTACAATGTACATTTTCATTGGTAATATAATCCCTCCAGAAAAATTTTCCAGGATGTGAAAATGAAGTGGTAACATACTATATTTACATAAATGACAGATAAAGTCTTGAAACAAAATGAGAGTAAAATATTTTTCTCAGTAATGAATTAATTATCTTTCAGGTTGAAGAACACTTGCTGTCTTTGCAGGCAGCTTACAAAGACACCATTGCTGAAAAACAACTATTAGCAAATCGGAAAACAACAGCCAGCAGGCGCTTCCAGTGTGCATCAGTCTTACTAACTGTCCTGGAAGATGAGAAGGCATGACTTCCTTTGTTTTTGTATCTCCTCCATAATTTCTTCTGGGCCCAACAACCCCCCAGATATTATTTTCACTGCAGGTTATATCATATGCCTTCTGAAAGTATCTTACTATACAATTTCTTATTGGGATCAGTAGACATCCTATTCTCATAAAGAAATTCTGTCTGAGTAGTTTCAAAACAGAAGTAACAGGTTACAAATATCTGATGTTATTTTCTGTTCTGAAGACATCGGCACGCTTTTGTCTAATGAGGCCCAAAGTAAACCTTTCAATGAAAATGTCATTAGTTTTCCTTTTCTAGCATTGGAACAACCCAAGCTGAACATATAAAATATGGGTGGAACCAAAAAGGACGAGATGGCATTAGGAAAGAAAAAGAAAATTCTTTTTTTAAAGTGAAAGTAAGTTTATTAAGAAAGTAAAGGAATAAAGAATGGCTACTCCCTAGGCAGAGCAGCTGAAAAAGAAAATTTTATTTTGTTCTGTCAGCCTTCTGAACCCTTTTAGCTCATCTTTTTATTTCTTCTCTGATTCATCTGCCTTATCAATGGTCAAATCCCTAATAAACTGACTAGAATCTCAGTTTAGTTACAGCTCAGCTATCTCAAGGGATGTTATAAAATTCTCAAAATAATTTTAATTTAATTTTTAAATAAATATCATAGAAGGTCAAGAGGATTTTATGACAACAGACCAATCAAAGGGAGATGATTGCTCTCAAAAGCAGATGGATGTCCCTGAGAAGTCAGGTGTATAAATTGAGAGGCAGTGAAATATCAGCATATCCCAGTTCCAAGCACCAGAAGAAAGGGCTCTTGCTCAACATGCTTTATTTATCAACCAATCAAGCACTTGTGTGATCAAAGACAGAGGCCATACAGCCAGAGAATATGGGTTCAGATCCCAGTTACACCCCTTAGAAGCTTTGTGATCTTGACCAAGTTGTTTAACTTTTCTAAACTCAACTTCAAATGAGGTATCAAATGAAGTTTTCAAAGTAAAATATCTGGCAGATAAGTAAAGATTCAATAAATATGGGTTGTCATTGTTATTATTATTGTTGTTGAACAACATTAATAGTATATTATAATAGATTGATATTTTATAAACTGCCTTGCTTTGGCTGATCATTCTGGCTCATGTCTATAATCTCAGCTCTTTGGGAGGCCAAGGCTAGAAGATTGCTTGAGGTCAACATTGGTCAATGTAGCAAGACCCTGTCTCTACAAAAAAAATAAATAAATAACTTAGCATGGTGGCAGATGTGTGTCATTCCAAGCCACTTGGAAGGCTGAGGTGGGAGGATCACATGAGCCCAAGAGATCAAGGCTGCAGTGAGCTATGATTGTGCCACTGCACTCCAGCCTAGGCTACTGAGAGAAGACCCTGTCTAAAAGAAAAAAAAATTGTCCTGCTTTATTACACAAAGGATGATTTTAAATGGCTTGTATCTATCTTAGCAAATATGACACTATTAGCATACCCAAGAATAAAACTAATTTCCCTCTCAGAAAATAGTTTATTTTTCAATATTATCCATTATTAACTTTTATACAGCCACAGCTTGAGAACAACAGTAGTAATTGCAATGACAGATCCAACTTGGAGACATTAATTTTAAAATATCTCATGATAATATATTTTATATAGAATAACTCATTTTATTTTAATATTTAGATGCGATGGCAAGAAACAATCAATCAAATAGATAACAAATTAGAAGGAATTTTGGGTGACATACTTCTTTCAGCAGCATGCATTGTCTACAATGGAATGTTAACATCAGAATTTCGCCAGTTGATTGTGAATAGATGGGAGAATTTCTGCATTGAAAATGGCATTTCTTTGTCTTCCAACTTTTCTTTAATTAAAGTTATGGCACAAAAATATGAGGTAATGTCAGCTTCTGAGTCAAATGGTAGCTTTGCTTCTTATTCTGAGTATAACCTTAGGCAAGTACCTAACATCTTTTAGCCTCAGTTCCTCTATCCAAGAAATAAGGGTTATTATAGTAATTTCACTACATTTTGTGAGTGTGTGTGTGTGTGTGTGTGTGTGTGTGTGTGTGTGTGTGGTTGGCAGGTGGTAGGTGCAAAATAGAGTAGGTTTTATTACATCTGTATAATTTTGTATTATTTCATGTTTCATATATGCATTAGAGTCTAAGATCCTTGGAGGCAGGTGCTGTATCTTATTTCCTTTGAGACCCCCGTGGCATCTTTCTTGTGATGGGCATTATAACACCCTTATTGTTGAACATAAAAATGTAATTTAGTGACTACTCACCTACCCAAAAATTTCACATCTAAGTTGCTTTAAATTGTTTATTTCCTTAGTGCTTTTAAACATTTCTTTTTCTAAAGGCAATGATTCTGTAGGCTCTTTTAGTACCCCATAGTATATGAAAGAGCTGAAGACATTTACGAAATAGTGAAAGTACTAATGATTTCATTGCAGATTAGCCGATGGCATAATCAGGGACTCCCTCGTGGTCAGTATTCAGTAGAGAATGCCATCTTGATTAAGAATGGCCAGCAGTGGCCATTGCTGATTGACCCACATAGGCAAGCTCACAACTGGATCCGTCAGATGGAAGGATCCAGGCTGCAGGAGCTCTCCATTGAAGACAGCAATTATACCAAAAAAATTGAAAATGCTATGAAGACAGGAGGGTGTGTCCTCCTGCAGGTACGTGGGCAGTATGGCCTAATTTCCCTTGCATTTGATACATATATTGTATGCACTGAGCATAAAGACTAAAAGTTTTCAGTGACATGTAACTGTTAGGAAAAAATAATAACAGACATACACACATATATATCTACAGACAGTTTTCAATGCTCACTTCTCTTACAGCTATCTTTAACTGGAGTCCAGATATTTAACAAAGCTTTTTTTTTTAATGTTTGTGGGTACGTAGTAAGTATATGTAGTTATGGGGTACATGAGCTGTTTTTGAAACAGGTATGCAATGTGTAATAATCACATCATGAAGAATGGAGTATCCATCCCCTCGAGCATTTATCTTCTGTGTTATAAACAATGCAAATATACTCTCAGTTATTTTTAAATGTACAATTAAATTATTATTGACTATTAACTATAGTGTTGTGCTATGAAATACTAGGTCGTATTCATTTTTTCTAACTCAACATTTAAATGTTTTAATGCTGCTTTTTTAAAAAACCAATTTGTTTTAAGGTGATTTTTCTTATTTTTGTCTATTGGGTTTTTCAGAATCTCCTTGAGACATTAGCTCCAGGCTTAAAGGCAATTCTGAAAAAGGATATCTATCAGAAGAAAGGACAATATTTTATAAGGGTTGGTGATGCTGAGATTGAATACAATTCAAATTTTAGGTAATGTGCCACTGCTAAATTGAATCAAATGTCTATATTTTTAAGATAAAAAATATTGAATGCCTTGTATTTCAGCCTTGATAAGCTTCTGCATGGAAGAAAAATAAGATTACCTTTGGAATATTCTTTCTGTTTTTGTGTTGGCAGTAGCATTCATTAGTGTACAGAAAAGAGAACCAAATTTTTATCAAGCACTCCAAACCAACACTTTTTCAAGCTGTGCATGATGAAACCTGTGGGTTTTATGAGGAGTCTTCAGAAGCTATGCAGAAAGGAGCAGGCGGGAAGAGCCTGGCTCTGCTTTGTCTAGAGAAGCTCTGTTCGGCTTGTCTAACATTTTAATTGGGCAAGAAAAGTTTCTGCCTCTTTAAAACACACACACACACACACACACACACACACACACACACACACACACACACGCACACACACACACACACACACAAAATCCATATTTAATACCTAGAGCAAAAAGAGATTTTTTACCTAGGGGGATAAAAAACATTGCATCCATGATCCCAGTAGTAAAGAGACTCCAGGAGACTGACTCACACTAGCCAATTTCACATAGCACTGTCACATAGATTTGATTACCACAAAAATATGATTCCCAAGGAAATAAGATGTTTGAGTTGTTCATGTGCATTCTCCCTTGCAGGCAAAGCTACATGAAAAGCCAACCATAATGAGAGCACTGCTGGGTAAGCAAGTAATCAGCAAAGGAAACTAGAAGTCTTTCACCATCCTTAGCTCAGTGCTTTTAACTTCTTCCCAGGACTCCTGACAGACTGACTCCTTACCAAGTGGTGTTGATTCTTAAACCTGTTGGTCAGTGTGTCCTCTCCCTTGTCCAGGGCTGCAGAGTCTGTCATCAAAGTATTACTCCTTAGAATTCTCTCTTACGTGGCCAGGCGTGGTGGCACATGCCTGTAATCCCAGCACTTTGGAAGTCCCAGGCGGGTGGATCACATGAGGTCAGGAGTTTGAGACCAGCCTGACCAACATGGTAAAACCCCGTCTCTCCTAAATACAAAAAAAAAAAAAAAATTAGCCAAATGTGTGGTGGTGCATGCCTGCAATCCCAGCTACTTGGGAGGCTGAAGCAGGAGAATTGCTTGAACCCAGGAGGTGAAGGTTGCAGTGAGCTGAGATCGCTCCTTTGCACTCCAGCCTTGGCAACAACAGTGAAACTTTGTTTTAGAGAGAGAAAGAGAGAATTCTCTCTTCTGTTAATAAAACAATTTCCAAAGTATGTTCCCCAAAACATTTCCATAATTTAATCGATATCACTCAAAAAAGGGATCTTATGGCTTTTTAAAGTGGGTTAAAGGTAACAGTCCTATAGGACTTAAAACCACTTTATTCACCAAACCCTCTCCAGAAAATAGTGTTGTATAGACTACAACTTGGAAAACACTGCATTAACTCATTCTCTTTTCTTGCTGGATATAATTTACTTGATTAAGTAACAGTGATAAAAATGCTAATGAAGCTACATTTTCCTGAATTGACAACCTGGTCCCCGTGTTAGGAACGTGTGTTGAGAAGGTGCTGAAGGCCGCTATTGTGGAGGGCAGGCTTTAGTGATAGGCCTCACTCTGTCACTTTCTGGCCTTGTGATATGGGCAATTTATTTAATATCTTTAAGCTTCAGTGTTACCCTTCATAAAGTGGAATGAAGAATTGTCCCTGCTTTATTAATCTAACCACTCTTCACTGTGATTCCCACTGACACCACCCTGCCCCACACCACCATTCTCTCTTAACATGTTACCCAGTCTCCCAGCTTCCCTCTTGCTCCTCTGCCCCTCCTCCCAGGATTCTCAAGATGGCTGCTACATGTTGGGTACAACGTACACTGCTCAGGTGATGGGTACTCCAAAATTTCAGACTTCACCACCATACAATTCATCCATGTGATGAACTTTACCCCTAAAGCTATTAAAATTTTTTTAAATGACAGCTGCTAGAGAAGTCTGATTTAAAAAGACATGTCACTCCTCAAATTCCTCCATTGGCTTCTCACTCAGGGTAAAAACCATGGCTTTCACAATGACCTAGTGGCAAGTCAAAACTTCTACTATTTAACATCTTTCTGTACTCTGTCCTTATGTGTAAACTAAATATGGTATGTACACAGTCTGTGGTTGTATTTTTTTAAGACTTCAATGCAAATGTATTCATAAAGTATAAATTGAAAGCCTACTTTGTATACAAAGCTGAAAAACACTTTAAAAAATCTTGTTTACTTCCAGGAAAAATGCTTTATGTATTTTTAAATAAATTGGTTTCATTCTTTTCTTCTGTATGTTCTTTGAGTAACTGATGCCTTTCTCATGTTTAGGTTATACTTATCTACAAAATTAGACAACCCCCATTTTCTTCCATCGGTTTATAACTTTGTTACTATGATCAACTTTACCGTAACATTCCAAGGTTTGCAAGATCAACTCTTGTCTACTGTGGTAACTCATGAAGTTCCTCATTTAGAAGATCAACGTTCCAAGTTACTGGAGAGTATTTCCCTTGATGCCAAAACTCTTGAAGAACTAGAGGAAAAAACATTAAATTTACTGCAGAAAGCCCAAGGTAAGTCAAGATATTTAGTGATAGTAAGAGATCTTTGCAAAGGATAGTATAAAACGTTTTAAGAATCAAATTTTGAATTTATACCAAAAATACCAGATCTCCATTTCCACCAGATAACTGATGAATGTAGGTGAATCACCCCATTTCTAAACTTAAACATTGTGATTTTTGGTGTCCCTCAGTTCCACTTTTGCTTTAGCTCATTGTGTTGTAGAACATTTGCCACCCTATAACTGGCATAAGTTGTAAGACAAATCTTACAGAGTCCAGTTAGTTCCCTCCAAGACTATCCCTGTACTTCAGGTACAGACATCTGTTATATGTCTCAAGTTAGATTGCAGAGACTGAATGACTGGGCTTTCCCCATCTATTAATAACAAAAAATAGTTTATTTTATATTTATTTTTACTTTTTTTGGACAGAGTCTCACTCCATCACCCAGGCTGGAGTGCAGTGGCGCCATCTGGGCTCACTGCAACCTCCGCCTCCCAGATGCAAGTGATTCCCCTGCCTCAGCTTCCTGAGTAGCTGGGATTACCAGCACATGCGACCACACCTGGCTAGTTTTTGCATTTTTAGTAGAGAAGGGTTTTCACCATGTTGCCCAGGCTGGTCTCAAACTCCTGACCTCAGGTAATCTGCCCACCTCAGCTTCCCAAAGTGCTGGGATTACAGGCATAAGCCACCACTCCTGGCTTAATAACTAAAAGGTATTTTTAAAGGAAATAATCCAGCCACTTTTCTGTATCCTATTAAAACATGCTGTTTGTTAAAGTAGCAGTAGAAATTATTTTCTTCTTCAGCACAAGAGATATCTAAGAAACAACAATCTTAACTGCATCTAAACTTAAAGAAAAAAATTCCTGAGTCACACTGATATATGTCCCTAACTCAACTGTGATAAAATACAGTTTATCTAACAGTGGACTATCTTTCTGTTTTAACTTGTGACTCATTGGAACTTGAAGGTTTCTCAGACACTTTAGTCCTCAATTAAGAGTATGTATAGAAATCATCTGTAGAGTTTATTACTTTTCTTTCTTTTTAAAAAATACAAATGCCAATGGGTACCACCACAGACTTTCTGAATCTGAATTTCTGCATGTGGCCCTGGCTTATGTTTATTTTTGATGATCTCCACATAATTATAATGTTCACTGCTGATTAAATATTATTTGTCTAATCTAAAGCCCATGGTCTGAAATGCAAGTCCAATGTCACCAGATACTTTAGTAAAACAAATTAAAAACTAGGTTTAAAAAAAAAGATAAAATATTACCAATAGTAATAAATAATAATATAATTTTTGAAAGGGGAGAAAACCAAGTTTTATAGGTCATGAAGCAGCCATACCCTGGGAGCAATATTGACCATTTCAAACATAAAAGAACCCAGGGAATTAAAACAAACAAAAAGTACTTGATGCGGAAATCTCATCAAATGAGCAATCAAAATCAGAAAGTGGGAGGAAGTCAGGGTGCAGTTCATGCAGAGAAGTCAGTCCATCCTGTTTTAAATTAAAAATTTATTTTTTAATAAAGATTGAATTCTTTAATTGCTTTCATCATCTTTTCTTATACCCTAGAGTAATGTTTTAGAAACTAATATATGTTATATTCAAGAAATGTTTATCTGAGATTCAGCAATTCTACTGATTCTTTTTCCTAATTCCAATAAAGGTAAATTTACTAGTCACTTAAAACACAGTGTTTATAGTAGGATCCATTTCTCGTAAACACACACACACACACACACACACACACACACACACACACACACAAATTCTGTCTAGCTATCAATCTATCCACCTAACCTTAATCTGCACATAGGTAGAGAGAGATACTTTGGAAGATGTTACCTATGTGTTAACACTGGTACTTTTGGGGCGGGGATGCCATGGGTCCCACCCCCACCCTTCACAGCCTAGGTCCACTCTTGCCCGCGTGCCCCTCCTCTCAGCCAGCACTCACAGGTGCCACTAGGTGGTAGCCCATTCCTTATCATCCTGAACTGGAACCACATTCACCTCGCTGCCTTGGATTTCCTTGGTCTGCCTGTCTTATATCAGTACAATGTCTTGTATCAGTGCAATGATGAATTTAAGCTTTCCCCGCGTTTTGGTTACAAACCTTTTCCCACTGAAAGGATGTGCCTCTCCACTGTTAGATGTTTACCTTAATATTGACATTTCTTCCCTAACAAATTGCTGCAGCCAAGAGCACTTTGCTGAGACCTGTAGCCAAAACAACAATAACTGTGACGAGGAGTTCCAGTATTGCCTCTTTAAGGTCTGCTAAGATGTGCAGAAAACACTGACTTGTTCAGCATGTTCTTGACCTTTGACAAAGAACTTACGTTTTCACAGCATACAACTGCCTTGGTTTGGGGAAATAACTAAGACCTTATAAGACTTTACATTTTATTTAAAACCTCAAACAAACAAAAATTGAAGTAGGAGAAGTACTGGGGATGGCATGCCTTTCCTCCTAGGTATCCTCCTGAGTGTTGTTGCCTTAGCGTGCCATTGTATTAACCTGATTCCAAAAAGAGGTATGTGTTAAATGGAGAATTTTTAAGAGCAATAAAGTCTGTAACTCAGTTTTTGCAACCATGTTTACAAAAAAAAAATAGATCTCAAATTTATTTATATCTTAGAAATACAGGCAAATCCTCACTTAGAAGCATATTTATTATGAAATTTTAAATACACATTTATGCCTGGAGGACCTGACTTTATTCCTTTTCTATGTTAATTATACCTAATGAGCTGTTTCTTTATAACACATTAATAAACTGTGCTTCTAGTAATAAGGCTAATTACATGACAAGGCTGCTGTATCTGTTTTTCTTGTACGATTGGAGCCATCAGCTGGTAACTTCTTAGGGAGCAAAACATCTAAGTGTTATATACATAGAAGGTGGCAATCAAGATTCAGAAGCACAGCCACCCCCATTTTATTTTCCACTCATATAACATGGCATATTTTGCTATAACCTTCACCTGAATTGAATAAAAGTTGGATTTGATGAGATAAGTGAAAAGGTGTTTAAGATAACACACATTAGGGCACTATATGCTTTTATTATGCCTTTGCTCTTTGTTCTCTATCATTTTTTCATTGTAGTAGAGTCTGGGGTATTTTTTAAAGACTGCAATCTTTGAGTAGTTGTGGTTTTAGTAAAACTTGTTCTTGAAAAACACTAAATTAAAAGACTCCTGGATTATATACATGATTTTTCTTCCTCCTTTCTAGCATCTAGTAAAACTAGGCTTTTTTATAACTTTTTTTTAATCGTACTTTAAGTTCTGGGGTACATGTGCAGATCTTGCAGGATTGTTGCATAGGTATACACAGGCCATGGTGGTTTGCTGTCTCCATCCCCCCGTCACCTACATCAGGCATTTCTCCTGGTATTATCACTCCCAAACCTCCCCAGACTCCACTGTCCATCCCTTAGCCCCCAACCCCTGAACAGACCCCAGTGTATGATGTTCCCCTCCCTGTGCCCATGTGTTCTCATTGTTCAACACCTACCTATGAGTGAGAACATGCGATGTTTGGTTTTCTGTTCTTGTCTCAGTTTGTTGAGAATCATGGTTTCCAGATTCATCCATGTCCCTACAGAGGATACGAACTCATCGTTTTTTATGGCTGCATAGTATTCCATGGTGTATATGTGCCAAATTTTCTTTGTCCAATCTATCATTGATGGGAATTTGGGTTGGTTCCAGGTCTTTGCTATTGGAAACAGTGCTGCAATGAACATACGTGTGCATGTGTCTTTATAATAGAACAATTTATAATCCTTTGAGTATATACCCAGTATGGGATTACTGGGTCAAATGGAATTTCTATTTCTAGATCCTTGAGGAATCACACACTGTCTTCTACAATGGTTAAACTAATTTACACTCCCACCACCAGTGTAAAAGTGTTCCTATTTCTCCACATCCTCTCCAGCATCTGTTGTCTTCAGATTTTTTAATGATCGCCATTCTAACTGGTGTGAGATGGTATCTCAATGTGGTTTTGATTTGCATTTCTCTAATGACCAGTGATGATGAGCATTTTTTCATGTGTTCCTTGGCCTCATATATGTCTTCTTTTGCAAAGTGTCTGTTCATATCCTTTGCCACTTCTGAATGGGTTTGTTTGTTTTTTTCTTGTAAACCTGCTTTAGTTCTTTGTGTATTCTGGATATCAGCCCTTTGTCAGATGGGTAGATTGTAAAATTTTTTCCCATTCTGTTGGTTGTCAGTTCCCTCTAATGATTGTTTCTTTTGCTGTACAGAAGCTTAATTAGATCCCATTTGTGTATTTTGGCTTTTGTTGCCATTGCTTTTGGTGTTTTAGTCATGAAATCCTTGCCTATGCCTATGTCCTGAATGGTATTGCCTAGGCTTTCTTCTAGGGTTTTTATCGTGTTAGGTCTTATGTTTAAATCTTTAATCCATCTGGAGTTAATTTCAGTGTAAGGTGTAAGGAAGGCACCTTCTGCACATGGCTAGCCAGTTTTCCCAACACCATTTATTAAACAGGGAATCCTTTCCCCATTGCTTACTTTTGTCAGGTTTGTCAAAGATCAGATGGTTGTAGACATTTGAAGTTGCTTCTGAGGCCTCTGTTCTGTTCCACTGGTCTATATCTCTGTTTTGGTATCAGCACCATGCTATTTTGATTACTGTAGCCTTGTAGTATAGTTTGAAGTCAGGTAGTGTGATGCCTCCAGCTTTGTTTTTTTTGCTTAGGATTATCTTGGCTATGTGGGCTCTCTTTTGATTCCATATGAAGTTTAAAGTGGTTTTTTCCAGTTCTGTGAAGAAGATCAATGGTAGCTTGATAGGGATAGCATTGAATCTATAAATTACTTTTGGCAGTGTGGCCATTTTCGTGATACTGATTCTTGCTATCCATGAGCATGGAATGTTTTTCCATCGGTTGCTGTCCTCTCTTATTTCCTTGAGCAGTGGTTCGTAGTTCTCCTTGAAGAGGTCCTTTATATCCTCTGTTAGTTGTATTCCTAGGTATTTTATTCTCTTTGTAGCAATTGTGAATGGGAATTCACTCATGATTTGTCTCTCTGTTTGTCTATTATTGGTATATAGGAATGCTTGTAATTTCTGCACATTGATTTTGTATCGTGAGACTTAGCTGAAGTTGCCTATCAGCTTAAGGAGATTTGGGGCTGAGATGATGGGGTCTTCTAAATGTACAATCATGTCATCTGCAAATAGAAACAATTTGACTTCCTCCTTTCCAATTGAATACCCTTTATTTCTTTATCTTGCCTGATTGCTCTGGCTGGAACTTCCAATACTATGTTGAACAGGAGTGATGAGAGAGGGCACCCTTGTCTAGTGCCAGTTTTCAAAGGGAATGCTTCCAGTTTTTGCCCGTTCAGTATGATATTGGCTGTGGGTTTGTCATAAATAGCTTTTATTATTTTTTATACATTCCATCGATACCTTGTTAAGGGGTTTTTAGCATAAAGCGCTGTTGAATTTTGTTGAAGGCCTTCTCTGCATCTATTGAGATGACCATGTAGTTTTTGTCTTTGGTTCTGTTTATGTGATGGATTACGTTTATAGATTTGCATATGTTGACCAGCCTTGCCTCCCCGGGATGAAGCCAACTTGATCATGATGGATAAGCTTTTTGATATGCTGTTGCATTTGGCTTGCCAGTATTTTAAGTTCAGGGTTTTTAGTATTTTAAACAAGTGCAGGTGTGTTACATAGGTAAACTTGTGTCACGGGGGTTTGTTGTACAGATTATTTCTTCACTCAGGTATTAAGCCTAGTACCCATTAGTTATTCTTCCTGATTCTCTCCCTCCTCCCACCCTTCAGCCTCTAATAGATTCCTGTGTCTATTATTCCCCTCTATGTGTCCATGTGTTCTCATCATTTAGCTCCCACTTATAAGTAAAAACATGCAGTGTGTAGTTTTCTGTTTCTATGTTAGTTGCTAAGGATAAAGGCCTCCAGCTCCATCCATGTCCCTGCAAAGGACATGATCTCATTCTTTTTTATGGCTACATAGTATTCCATGGTGTATATGTACCACATTTTCTTCATCCAGTCTATCACTGATGGGCATTTAGGTTGATTCCATGCCTTTGCTATTGTGAATAGTGAAAACTAGCCATTCTTATTGATTTTGGTGTGACTGCCCCGTCCCTGTAGGAAACGGTGTGGTAGGATGAGTACTGTGAGAGGTGGCCCACAACTTAGGTTCAGACATTACTTTAAAAGCTACATCTACATCAATAAGAATGTGGTACACAGATTGTAGAATATACTAATCTGATTATTCCCAGCAATGGTCATATCAGGCTGAAATACTGTGTTTACTTCTGGATGCCACATTTTTAAAAGGCTCGTTTCAAACTAAAATGTGTCCAGAGGCAAGAATCAAAGACAGTGAGGGGTCTAAAAATCACATCATAAGAAAAAAGCAGTTGAGAAAAATGGGAATATTTAGCTCATAAAACAGAAGAGTTTGTAATGGAAACCTGACAGCTTCCTATATTTGAAGGGGATAGACTTATTATCTGTACTTTCTAGAGAAGTGCTTTTTCAAAAGGTGAGTTGTAATCTATTAGTGGGTTGAGAAATAAATGTCATTGGTCATAATCAGTTTCATGTGTTTAATAAAATAGAATATATACAAAATATCAGAACATATCACTTGAAATAATGGCAAACTTGTTATTTTCTGAAAATTCATTTTAATATTCTATGTGTATAGTGGGTCTTAATGTAAATGTATTCCTTATCATGGAATGGTTACTTCTTATATGCATGTAATAAAAATAGCATCCACCAACACTAAAGTAATATAAAGAAGAGATGAGGAAGTGGGGAGTGAGGTATATGTACTATTAATCAAATTATTAGAAATATTACCTAAGTTCGTTTAAGAGCCCATCTCCAACATAAAACCAATAAGAAACCAATAGTAAAAACCCTTATGCAAAGAGTGCAGAGTGGGGAAATAGCCATTTACTATTATGATAGTCTTTATTTAACCTCACTTTTTGTTTGTCTTTAGGATCCGTGTTAGATAATGAAGAAGTTATAGATACCTTAAGAAAATCCAAAATGACATCAAACGAAATTTCAAAGCGCATTGAAGCAACAAAAAAAGCTGAAAGTAAAATCGAAGCAATACGTAAAACCTATCTCCCCATAGCAACCCAAGGCGCCCTCCTCTACTTCCTAGTAGCTGGTCTCACACAAATCAACTATATGTACCAGTTCTCCCTAGACTGGTTCCATCAGGTTTTTGTTTCATCGGTAGTTTCCAAAAGCAAAGAACAAGACCATAGTTTTAAAAGGGAGAACGTGTCTCCAAAAGAAATTCATGAGATTATAAATATTTCAAAAGAACCCAACTTGGAAAATGAGAAAAATCTCTTAGATAAGCATATTAAAAATGCAATAGATGTGTTGACAAAAAGTATTTTTAAGGTGAGATACTCTTTAGTGTGAATTTTACATACTTATTTAATCTCACTGGATTAATGTAAGTTATATTTTCCCTGTAGGTGGTTTCTTCAGCTCTGTTTAATGAAGATAAACTTTGCTTCTCTTTTCGGCTTTGCACTGCAATCATGCAAAATAATGCTAATGGAAATCTAATGCAAGATGACATTGGATTCCTACCAGAAGAAGAATGGAACATCTTTTTATATTCTGGCATCTTGATAAATATTAAAAGTGCATTATCCCACTCTAGACTTATTAGTAAGTAAAAGTTATTATTCCAGATCCAGTAAAAGTCCATTAAAAGCATGTTTCCTTCCTCTGAGGTGCTCCAAGTCAACGCCTCTATAATAGATTAAAGTAAAAGTAGCTTGAAGTCAAGTACCTCCACTGTTGAACACATAATTGTTACTCAATAATTTTTTAATCAATGAATGAATGCATAAATGACAATTACTATGATTATTGTAATTCTAATCTACAAAGCAGAATATTTAATTTTAGTCAACCGGAACACACCCACACATAAACATCAATGGAATACCTTCAAGAGTTAAACCTTCCTCCACCCCCCAACTACAGTTGCCCTCATTTTCTTATGAAAACTTGGTTGAAAGAATTGCTTGAACCTGGGAGGTAGAGGTTGCAACGAGCCGAGATTGCGCCACTGTACTCCAGCCTGGCGCCTGGTGACAGAGCGAGACTCTGTCTCAAAAATAAAAAAAAAAAAAAAAGAAAATTTGAAACACAAAAAGCATGTTTATCCAAAAAGGTTATACACAATTATTTAATTATTGAATCTTTTAAATGTTTTTACATTGTATTTTTAATATGAATCTTTTAAATGTTTTTACATTGTATTTTTAATATGTTTATTATCTAAACTGTGGTCAAATACATATAATATAGAATGTATGATCTCAATTTTTAAGTGGCACTAAATATATTCACGCTGTTATGCTGTGTTGTAAATTTTAAGTCTCAAAAATATAAAGCTTAAAGGAAATCTGACATCCATACTAAGGGGGAAAAGTGATCATTTGGATTAGGCTTTGTCAATCAAAACCTGCCAAAAAAAAGAAAATCTTAGGACCAGATGGCTACATTGAATTCTACCACACACACATTTAAAAATTAATATAAATTTTCCTGAAGCTCATTCAAGAAATTAAGGAGACAGAAACACTTTCTAACTCATTCTGTGGGGCCAGCATTATTCCGATACCAAAGCCAGACAAAGATACTACAAGTAAACTACAGATCAATATTTCTGATTAACACAGATGCAAAAATCCTCAGCAAAATACTAACAAACCAAATTTAATGGCACTTTAAGAGGATTATACACCATAACCAACTGGAATTTATTCTCAGTTTTACAACAGTATGAATGTATTTAACACCACTGAACTGTACACCTAAAAATGGTTAAGATGGGCCAGGTGCAGTGGCTCATGCCTGTAGTCCCAGCATTTTGGGAGGCTGAGGTGGGCGGATGACTTGAGGCCAGGAGTTCAAGACCAGCCTGGCCATCATGGAAAAAAATACAAAACTTAGCCAGGCATTGTGGTACACACATATAATCCCAGCTACCTGTGAGGCTGAGGCACAAGAATCGCTTGAACCTGGGAAGCAAAGGTTGCAGTAAACAGAGATCGTACCACTGTACTCCAGCCTGTGCTAGACAGAGTGAGACTCTACCTCAAAAAAAAAAAAAAAAGGTTTAGATGATAGATTTTGTTATATTTTTACCACAATAAAAAGTTACCTTTTATGTAATTTTTATATAAAGTAGCTTTTTATATTTTATTTATGTAAAATACATACTTTCTTTTTCTTTCTTTCTTTCTCTTTCTTTCTTTCTCTTTCTTTCTTTCTTTCTTTCTTTTCTTTTCTTTTCTTTTCTTTCTTTTCTTTCTTTTCTTCCTTTTCTTTCAAGATAGATTCTTGCTGTGTGGCCCAGGCTGAAGTGCAGTGGCACAGTCTCAGCTCACTGCAACCTCCACCTCCCAGGTTCAAGAGATTCTCCTGCCTCAGCCTCCTGAGTAGCTGAGATTACAGGCTCTCACCACCACGCCTGGCTAATTTTTGTATTTTTAGTAGAGGCAGGGTTTCACCATGTGGGTCAGGCTGGTCTCAAACTCCTGACCAAGTGATCCACCTGCCTCAGCCTTCCAAAGTGCTGGGATTACAGGTGTGAGCCACCGCGCCTGACCTTATTTCTATAAAATGATTTTTATATGAAATAGCCTTAACAGCAAATCTTTGTTAAGTATCTACTTTGTAATGAGTAACTAAAAAGTTAAGAGTTTATCTCTTCTAATGTGATCATTTTTCTTTTTCTATTAGGCACATTTGAAATATATGAAAGTCAACATCTTCAGTGGCTGTCAGAGTCCAGGTGGAGGCAGTGCCAATATGTCAGCAGTCACCTGGAACCATTTTCACTTCTGTGCAAATCCCTTTTATCAAACGTATCACAATGGGATGCTTTTAAGAACAGTAAAGCAGTTTATTCTCTGATCAGCACTCCTTTCACTTCTGAAAATGCGTCGTTGGAGAAAAATACAGAATCACCGGAGGAAAGTAAGAAAGCACTCAATATTTTCATCTAACTTAAGTACATGTGTATGTGTATGGATTTTCAATTTGTAAATGTCGTACAATATCTTATATTGTGAAAAAGTTGAAAGAATGTACATGTTCTTCACTGTAATCCTCATAACAATCTCTGAAAGGATTAAAATGAACTTCATTCTTGTTGGTGAGAAAATCTGATGAGAAATCAGAATTTCAAAGAGATTAAATATACCGCATTAGTTTCGTTACACCATGCTAATTTTGAACCTTGAATCTGAACAAGCCTACATATATCCTTCATTTTAACAAATATGTGTTTTTAAAATTACATGGGAAAGGATCTTACCTTAAATTCAAATGACTTACTATTTTTAGCACATCTTTTTCTTTTTCTTTTTCCACTTCAAACTCTCCTCCATTTTTCCTTACTACCTTCACTCATAATACCCCCACTCAGAATACAACCTAATTTGTTTTCTTCCACATTTTTCTGATTTTTGCCATAATAAACAATTATATTATACAATAATATAAACATCTTTATACATTTCTCCTTTGCTTTTATTTCTATGGGATAAATAATCAGAAGTGGAATCGCTGGAACGAAAGGAAATCATTTTTATGTTAACAGTTGCTGCCAAGTTGCTTTCTTTAAAAATCTATGATAGTTTATACTTCCACTAGCAATATGAATGCCCATTTTCCATAGAATTGATTTTTTTTAACTTTTGCCCATCTGAAAAGTTTAAAATCCTGTTTTATAGATAATTAGCTTTTTGTATTATTATATGTATTAACATCTGTAATCAAATGTTTTTCCAAATTTTTGTCTATTGAATTTGTTTATACTACCTATGCTATATGTATTTAAATGTTTGCATAGTCATATTATGTCATTTTTTTCTTTTGTACTTTCCTGATTTCAAGTTCTTATTAAGAAGTTCTTCTCCCCTAGAATTTTCTCTCTGAGTAATTATCATTTTATTTTGTTGCATTTATCACTAATATATTAGGGCCCATAATTTATTATACTACAAGAGTTAGTAACTTTTATTTAAAAGAATTCTTTATTGACCCTTTTTGTGAAGATCTTTTTATTTTGCAAATAACCCCAAATTATCCATTTATAGTTAGATCTTCATGTGTCTTGTTTTAAGATCAACACATCAATATTGTTTACATTCAAAAAAGTCATTTCTATAAACTAATTTGTATTTAAAGGTAGACATTGGGAAAATCCCGTAGAAACAAGAGGTAAGTATAAATGATAACTGTATCTGGGACAACTGGAAATGAGGACTAGAAGGCTTCCCACCTTGCAAAAAATTGTAATTCAGTAGGACTATTGTGGTGGTAAAGGGGTCGGTATGAAATATATGCAGATAGATATAATATTTAATTTTTTAAAAATTTAATAATCTGGTTGCATTTCCATTTGCTTCTCATTTCCTATATCTGTTATAGCTGGATTATGAATAGAAATCTCCAACCTCTAGACTTACTAGTTTACATTCATCAGAAAAACATCACATATACAGGAACAGGTTATACTGTGTTGGCTGGCTATGCCTTTTGCTTCTCATTTTATTTCTTCATCTGTCCATCATCTTGTTATATCACTGTTCATCCACCACTTCAGCTGGACCAAATTGAAACTTAAATCTATCTTAATGTCTACCTCTTTTGAAGTGTGAAGGACAGCTAGTGATGCCTCAAATCTAATGGAAATAAAGCTCACTTTAAAAGTCAGCCATGTTTAGAAAAAAAAAAAACTTTACAATTTTATAACAGAAATTTTCATTGTGATATCTTTCAATGGTATAAAGTATCTGACTGTTAATCCCAGTTTCTTTCTCTAAATTATATCTAGCTGAACTTTTGAATGAAAATAAAGACGTGTGTAATCCTGTATATTTTCCTTGGGAGAAACTCACTTCATTTCAAAGACTTATTTTGGTAAGATATATTATGAGAAAATATTAATATTCTAAATGTTTTGAGTGCTTTATTAGCAACTTAAACCCTTCAAAATTAAAATTTTACAAGCAAAATATATTTTTAAAGAAACATTTCGTGAATGTTAATGTTAGAGGGAAGCACTTACACTTCACCTTTGTGTTTCTTTCATGTGGAGAGTCCCATGAGAATAACATTCCTGGAGTCCCTCTGTCCCCTCATTTATTCTTCCCTAGAGAAGAGGACTCATAGCCCTTTTGACCCTGTCCCTTTTGGGATTTGTCTGCCTATGAAGAGCATACTTTCTGCTCTGCTTCTCTGTGTCATAAACCATACAGAAACTGACCTTGGTCCTGTAGGGAGAGGCCAATGGCTGACCAGCACTGCTTGTGACAGGTAATCTGTCTAATTCTAGGTTCCGTATCAGGAAGCACATTGTTGCTTCACACCTAAACTACATCCACCAACATGACCATTAATATTAATATATTTTTGCCCAACACCTCTATTTCTCAGTTGTTCAGAATCTGGTTGAGGGTAGAGTTTGGTGAGTTATGGGTATGCATGGGTGTCATTTATGAGCACCCCTAACACATGAAAAGTTTAATATGTGTTAAGCACTTTACATATATTATTCTATTTAATCCTTATATATAATAGTCTTGGAAAGTAGGCATAATTATTTCCCTCATTTTACAGATTAGGAAACCAAGGCTTATAAATTGCCTAATAGAGCCAGGTTGCATCTCAGACAGCGTGGTTCTCATAGCTGTGTTCTTGGTAGTCATACTATATTATACTTTCCAGGGTAGATCATTCTAAATTCATCCTTATTGCCTAAAAAAAGTCTTGATTTTGACATTTATTCCCTAGTTTAGTGAGAGGAAAATCTCTCATCTCATTTAAATTCCTGAAATTCTTAAATTCCTGAAATTCCTGAAAATGCTAACCTGGACAACCAATAATCCTTTGATTTCTACCTTAAACTTTATTTTTGCGACACTTTAAAATTCTCTCTAGGTACAGATTGCAAAATATGACTGCATCTGGCTTATAAAAATGTTTTATTTGACCTGAAGTTTCGTGGGTTTTTTCAACTTTTCAAGTACAATTTATTACTAATCAAATGGATTTGAATCCATGATCTTGCCTGGAAGATTTTTGTCTTAATTCATTTGGGCTGCTGTAACAAAACAGATTGCCAAAATCCACTAGAGTGGGCAGTTTAGAAACCTTAGAAACGTACTGCTCACAGCTCTGGAGGCTAGAAGTCCAAGATCAAAGACCCAGCAGATTCAGTGTCTGGTGGATTGCTTCATGGGTGGCATCGTCTTGCTGTGTCTTCACAAAAAGAAAGTCTTTTTCTTTTTTCTTTTTGAAATTAGGTCTCACTCTGTCATCCAGGCTGTAGTGTAGTGATGTGATTATAGCTCACTGCAGCTTGAAACTCCTGCCTCAGCCACCTGAGTAGCTGAGACTACAGGTATGCATCACTATGACAGGCTAATTTTTTAAGAGATCAGATCTCACTATGTTGCCCAGATTCCTCAAGACTTCTTTATAAGGGAACTAATTCCAACCCGAGAGCAGAGCCCTCATGACCTAATTCTCTCCTAAGGCTCTACCTCTTAATACTAACACATTAGAGATTAGGTTTCTTCTGTCTTCCCTTTCTCTCCTACCTCTCCAAAAACAAAACAAAAAAAAGCCCTCAAGGGTTAAAATTTACAACCGTAGAGAGATGTAATAAAATCTTGATTGATCAATACAGTAAAAGAGGAATGTTGGTGACAAAAATCATGATGGCCATTTGGGGGCATAAATTCTCCACAGTGACAGACAATATCAGGGAAACACCTAATCATTTGTTTCACTCAAGGATTGTAACACTGTTTCATTAACTGGATATACTGAGTGAACTCTGCTGTTAGACCTACAGTCTTTGTGTGCTGCCTATTTTCATTTTTAAAAATATATGATGCATATAATTAAAATAAAATTGTAATAATAGTTTTTCCAAAACATAACAGAAAAGAGCAGAATGCAGCATAATGATTAAATGTATCATGTTAAACATATAAAATTGCCAATATCTGATAGTGTTTGATAGGTTAAAATGGCACCTTCCCATGGTCCAACCTAGTACATCCACACAGACTCATAGATACGTGTAGCTTCAGTTTTACTTTAAATGATGGAGTCCCAGATGTTGAATATGTTCAGGACATATTTTATGGTCATTATGTAGAGAAATATCATATAAGTGATTTGTATAAAATAGTTTTTATGAAAAAGGTCAAAATTTGCAATGATTTCCAGTAGGCCCTGACCCTATAATGTGTTTACTACACATTTATACTGTTTCCAAATCTCTTAGTCCATCTAGCATTCTTTTCAGATTTGTATTCTAATTGCTTAAACATATAAAGATGTGCCATTTTTCATTTTATTTCATTTCATTTTATTAATGGAAGAATTAATACTCTTCCAGTGTGTTATCCTGGATTTTTATCCCTCCAGCACCATGGGGTTTTCTTGCTCTAGACATGGATAGCAGAGCAGGAAAAAACCTGAGAAGAAAAAAATTTCTTTTTGCAGATTGGGAAGTAAAACGTGGATCTTTACAAACAAAGAAAGAGCTCACTCGGTGTGAAAGAGATAGAGGCACAAGGTAGCCCTGCTATCTAAAAAGGGCCACATGATGGTCAGGAACATGGTGGCAGCTTCCCCTCCATGCATAGACTCTCTCATTAAACTTCCCCAGCAGGAAAACTCTGGCTGAAAAGCTAAAAAATAAATACTTCTTATTTTCATTTCATTTTACCATAGGGAATATTCCCCTGGTTGGTTTTTAATTTTACCTTATTTTCCATGTTTTCTTTTTTAGATAAAAATTCTTAGACCAGAACATTTAAAGAATTCAGTGAGAAAGTTTATAACTGAAAAAATGGGAAATGAATATCTTCAAAGAACTGGAGCTAATTTGAAAGATGCATATAAAGAATCCAATGCCAGAACTCCGCTGATACTTATTAAGTCTCATGGTAAGCTATTTGTGAATAGTTAAGATGATTGAGGCCAGGCACAGTGGCTCATGCCTGTAATCCCAATACTTTGGGAGGCCAAGGTGGGCGGATCACGAGGTCAAGAGATCGAGACCATCCTGACCAACATGGTGTAACCCCGTCTTTACTAAAAAATACAAAAGTTAGCTGGGCGTGGTGGTGCATGCCTGTAGTCCCAGCTACACAGGAGGCTGAGGCAGGAGAATTGCTTGAACCCAGGAGGTGGAAGTTGCAGTGAGCCGAGATCGAGCCACTGCACTCCAGCCTGGCAACATAGCGAGACTCCATCTCAAAAAAAGAAAAAGAAAAATTAGTTGGGCGTGGTAGTGGATGCCTGTAGTCCCAGTTACTTGGGAAGCTGAGGAAGGAGAATCACTTGAACCCCGGAGGTGGAGGTTGCAGTGAGCCGAGATTGAGGCACTGCACTCCAGCCTAGTGACAGAGCGAGACTCCATCTAAAAAAAAAAAAAAAATGATGATTGATATGTTTGGCCGTTTCCCCATCCAAATCTCACCTTGCATTGTAATCCCCATCATCCCCACATGTCAAGGGCAAGACCAGGTAGAGGTAATTGGACCATGGGGGTGGGTTCTCCTATGCTGTTCTCGTGGTAATGAGTGAGTCTCGCAAGATCTGATTGTTTTATAAGCACCTGGCATTTCCCTTCCTGGCACTCACTCCATCCTGTCACCCTGTGAAGAAGGTGCCTGCTTCTCCTTTGCCTTCCACCATGATTGTAAGTTTCCTGAGGGCTTCCCAGCAATGCAGAACTGTGAGTGAATTAAACCTATTTACTTTATAAATTACCCAGTTTCGGGTATTTCTTCATAGCAGTGTGAGAACAGACTAATATGATGATGATAAAATATCAGCTAAGAAATATGGAGAAGTAGAATCTGTGTCAGATTATTCTGTGTTTAAAATATTTTCCTAGTCTTATTTAAAATTTTTAGGAAAAGAGCTGATTACAATTTTAAACTATATTAAGAATAAATCTCTCTAAAAATATAAAATAACAAAGAGGAGTAAAACCTTTCAGATTCACAAAGATGGAAAAATTTATCAATGATGATTTTTTGCACAGAAAATACCTTGCAACCACATACTATTGCTCTGAAAGCTGGATTGTCCTATGTCTATTCACATTTTTAATAAATACTGGCTTGTGCAAAAATATATATTACAAAATAAACTATCAGAAATTGGCCCTGCTCTCCAGCCCTTGTATTCCTCAAAACTCCAAATGCTGTGTTGTTGTAGTTGTAGTTTTTCTTGTCTTTGCACTACAGATCCAAAGTAAAATATTTTCTCCCAAGCAGAGTATTTTCTTCATTTATCTTCTGTTCCAAAAATCAAATGTGTCTTTAGAATTTTTCAAACCTTGATTTTATGACACAAAACCTTGTCCAGAGTGCCTCCACCTGGAGGCTTCTCACCTGGAACGTTTCCATGTAAAGCACTTGGCTACATGCCTGACACATTCATAATAGGTACTGTCCATTTTGTGAAGACTTACCCCATGATGTTGGCTGTCTCAAACCATCATGTTCATGTTCCAAACAACAGAATGGAAGCAAGGAAGAAAGGCACACATCCTCCCTTTAAGGAGATATCCAAAGTATTACACAACACTTATTTTTATTTAATTTTCTTTAAGTTCTAGGATACATGTGCAAGACATGCAGATTTCTTACATAGGTAAACATGTGTCATGGTGATTTGCTACACTTATCAACCCTTCACCTAGGCATTAAGCCCCACATGCATTAGCATTTATCCTGATGTTCTCCCTCCCTCAACCCCCAACAGGCCCAGCGTGTGCTGTTCCCCCCGCCATTTGTCCATGTGTTCTCATTGTTCAGTTCCCACTTATAGGTGAGAACATATAGTGTTTGGTTTCCTGTTCCAGTGTTAGTTTGCTGAGATAAAGGCTTCCAGCACATCCATGTCTCTGTAGAGGAAATTATCTCATTCCTTCTATGGCTACATAGTATTTCATGGTGTATATGTACACATTTTCTTTATCCAGTCTATCATTGATAGTCATTTGAGTTGATTCCATGTCTTTGCTATTGAGTATTACACAGCACTTTTGCTAACAAAATTTTGCTGCCAAAATCTATCACAAAACTTAGATGCCAACAGAAGCTAAAAATGTAGTATTTTAGCTGGGTACACGGCCATCTCAAACACACTGGGGTACAGCTGCAGAGGAGGAAAGGAAAGGTAGATGTTGGAGTAGACAACCAGCAGGTGCTGCAATCGTCAGATATTATTACCATCCTCGTGTGTTAGGCTAGTAAGTGGCAGGGCCAAAATTTAAACTCTGGCTCTAATTTCAAAACTTGTAGTCTTTCCACCATGGCTATACGTTTTGCCACTGCCACTCAATAAATGCTGGATTGTGATTTTTAAGAGGGAATTAAATGAGCTTACAGTTTTATGTACCTCTCCACCTTCTTATACAGGGACCGACCTTACCAGTATCCTCCTGAGATTTGCACAAGAGTTAAAAGGAACAACCCATCATGTGACCATGGTTTCTCTGGGCCGTGACCAGGCAGCTAAAGCTGAAGACCTCATTTTAAAGGCACTAACGAAAACACAGCAATGGGTCTTCCTCCAGAACTGCCATCTTGCAGCATCGTTTATGCCAAGGCTTTGCACACTTGTAGAATCGTAAGAGTTTTACTTTTACATTTATTTGTGAGGGATCAGATTGATTACCAAAACTATAAAGTAAAACTGGAAATGGCAATGTAAGTATTCTCTGTGTAAACAATGACAAAATAATGTGTTGAGCCACTCAGATGAAATTTAAACTATCTTACATAGGTTTTCTTTTCTCCAGGAACTTGAAAACTAACAATATTTCAGTTTTTATTTTTTAAGGCCTCTTTAGTTCTCTGTTGTGTTTATCACTTTCCTCAAACTCTTATTCTCAATAGCATATACAAGCATACACACAAGTTGTATGTACTGATGGATACAAGTTTTTAATATTCTGTGTGCTCCTAAACAGCAGAGCATAATACCTCATGCCTATACTTTCAGAGATTATTTGTTTTATGGCCTTTACTTTGTATCTGTTCTGACTTTCTCTGACTCAAATCACTCTTTTAGGCTGTACCTCCCAAAGCACTTAGTCACTCATGCAGAAATTTCCATAGTTTAGCCTTCTTGTTTGCAGTGGAAGTATTTGAAAGTTGATTGATGCCACGTGGCATCTTAATAGTGGCTCACCATACTATTGCCAGACAATAGTATGGCGGATAGCACTGTGCCAATAAAAGAAAACAAGTAAGAAATTAGTGAAACGTTCCTCAGAACAGAATTTAACAAGAGTAATTAATGATACATTTTAAATATTAAACATAATCAGAGTATGATTAAAATAAACTCATACTTCTGGGTTGGGCGCTGTGGCTCACGCCTGTAATCCCAGCACTTTGGGAGGCCGCGGCAGGTGAATCAGCTGAGGTCAGGAGTTTGAGACCAGCCTGGACAACATGGTGAAACTCTGTCTCTACTAAAAATACAAAAATTAGCCGGGTGTGGTGGTGGGCACCTGTAGTCCCAGCTACTCGGGAGGCTGAGGCAGGAGGATTGCTTGGGCCCGGGAGGCAGAAGTTGCAGTGAGCCAAGATCATGCCACTGCACTCCAGCCTGGGCGACAGGGTGAGACTCCATCTCAAAAAAACAAAATAGAAAGAAATTCATACTTCTTTATTAAATCAAGCCTTTAGACATTTAAGATAACCCACAGTAGAAGAGGAAAATGTGAAGAAAAAATATTTCTTAAATTTAAGAGTTAAAGGAATATGTTCACAACATATTGCTAGAAGAAAAAACAAAAAGCTGCAAACAATGTATGCAGCATAATTATTTTTAAAATGAGAGACAGAGAGAGAAAGAGAAAAGAAAAAGAAAAAAAAAGTATACCTAAACTCATTTAGTGGGATTAGAGGCCATATTTGTTTTCTCTTTCATTTTGTGTTGTGTGTTTTTTCCTTGTAATAATTTGTTTTGCAAATTTTCAAAAAATAATTTCACCCTTGCAGAAAAGTTGCAAGAACAGTACACAACTCCCTTTTACCTTTCATCTCTATTTCCAAATTCTTAATATTTACCCTTTCATTTCTCTCATATATATATGTAATGTTTTTCTGAATGATTTGGAAGTAAGTCGCAGACATGTTGCCACTTGACCCCTAAATAGTTCAGTGTGCAGTGTTGTTTATTTACTCGTGTTTAGCCTAGTGTCCCAAAATATCTTTTATTGCAAAATAAAAGTTTTCGTCAAAGTTCCAATTCAAGATTTCTCATTGTATTACGTTTTCATGTCTCTTAAATCTCCTAATAAGTATTTTTTTAATTTGTTTGTCTGTTTATTTAGAGGTGAGGTCTCGCCACGTTGCCCAAGCTGTACTTGAACTCCTGGGCTCAAGTGATCCCCTCACCCTAGCCACCCAGGTAGCTGGAACTATTGGTGCATGCCACCATATCCAAAATCTCCTTTAATCTATAATAGTTCCTCAGTCTGCCTTTGCCTTTCATGATATCAATGTTTTTGAAAAGTACAAGCTGGTTACAGTGGTTCCTGACTATCCACAAGGGATTGGTTCCAGGACCCCCTGTGGCTACTAAAATTCTTGCACATTCAAGTCTACAACCTACACACATCCTCCTGTATAATTTAAATCATGTCTAGATTACTTATTATACCTAATACATAGTAAACGCTGTGTAAATAGTTATACTGTATAGGAAATAATGACAAGAAAAAAAAATCTATCCTGGTTCAGTATGGATGCAAACATTGTAGGCCTAACTAAATAGTACAGGTCAGCAACATCTTAACATTTTCTGACATTTTTTTTCTTGAATATTTTCAATGCAAGGCTGACTGAATCCATGGATGTGGAACCTATGGATACAGAGGGCTGACTGTATTTTGTAAAGTGTCTGTCAATTGGGATTTATCTAATATTTTCTTATAGTTAGATTAAGGCTATAAGAAATACTGCAGTATTGCAGTAATATCATAGAAGTAATGTTATATCATTCTTGGTACATCATATCAAGAGACCTGTGATATCAATCTGTCTCATTACTGTTGATATTAACTCTGGTCACTTGGTTAAAGTGGTATCTGCCACTTGTGGGAACTTTCAGACCATATACATACATTCAACTTTCACCCACTAGTTTTTTAAGTTCATTGATAATTTTTGACTGAATTACTACTATATTATTTACCAAATGGTAGCTTTCTAACTCCACAGCTACTTCTACATTTATTTAATGATGTTCTTCTATAAAGGAAGAGCTTGTCTTTCTCTTCTATTTATTTATTTATTTATATCAGTATAGTATCATTGATTTCCATTTTATTCAAAAATTATAATTTGTTACTGTCATCACTTATTTTGATATTCAATTGTCCCAAATTTGATCAGCGGAACTCTTCATTTTGTTTTTAATTTGTAATTTTTTCCAGATTTTTTGCAATGAGTATATGATCACTTTTTGTACTTACAGGAAAGAAAGCTACTTTTTAAAAATGGTAGCTGATGAGTCTTGTACAAATTCTTGTGCAGTATGGAAGCTCTGATGGTATTATAGTAAGATCTTTGGTATTAAAATGATTCATAAGGCCGCTTCAAACATTGAAATGCTATAATTCTAAGAACATGTTGCTTTACATTTTTCACATTAAAATATTTATAAGTCTTTTTTTTTTATTTTGCAGTTTTAATAGTCCAGGCATGACAATAGACCCTGAGTTTCGGCTATGGTTAAGCTCAAAATCATACAGTTCTTTTCCAATTCCTATTCTTCAAAAGGGTTTAAAGGTAAGAACAAAGTATAACAGATTTAATATTGACTAAGGATTCCTGTTTGAATGTAACTCTGAATTTAAAAGAGAGAGCTAATTCTCATAAATTCTGAAATGCTAAATTTCTGCTTTGTGCTCAGCACTATACTAGAGATCAGGAAGAACACTAAAGTAGATTCCTATTGTCAAGGAATTCACAATTTATATGTTATTTTCTCAAATAAGGATGCTAGATCTCCAATTATTATAAACCAACATTTACAATGTGTGTCCTTTTCCTGCCCGTCACTTCTCTAGCATTTCTTATTTCTGCCCTCCTTAAACGTTTCACAGTTCATTAATTCTCTAGAAAGAGTCTGACAGAAAGCAAGCTAAAACTATTTACTAAAAAGTCCTCATTAAAGATTATCTGGGACTTCTCATAGCCACCATCGAAGTTGAATAAATAGTAAGACAGTCAATTCTGTTAGATCAGGGTCCAGCTAACCAAAAGGCACGGTCTTAATAACAGAGAAAACTGACCGATGGCATAGACATAAGGGGTGTACCCAGACTCCCAAGCATGTGCTCACTGCCAGCTTTCACAGAAGTGGGGTAGGCATGGAGAAAATTGGGTGGATGAGGTACTTTGCAGATAGAGCCCCAATCCAGCCCAAGAAACTTCCTGCCATACTGCTTCCCAGCTCTGCCTGGAGGCTCACTTGCCATTTGCTCACATACTAAGGGTGACAGACTCAGAGAAGCTTGTCTTCTATCTCCTGGAGCCACTTACCTTCTACGGATGATGAAACTAAGAGCCATTTGCTTACACTCCAGGGGTTTTAAAAACATAGAGACCTCCTCTTTCCCAGAGAGGATTTGGGTACATTCCAAAGCAAAATCTGTCTCTCTTTCTCTATCTCGGAGAAAAGGAAAGGCTGCTATGCCAGTCATTCTGTAAGCTCCAAGTTTCAAAATTCGAATCCCCCTCTTAAGGTACTAATTCCACTATGCACACACAGGACATTCGGAATTTGATCCCTGATCCAGAAGTCTCATGTTCATACACACGCGCGCGCGCGCGCACACACACACACACACACACACAAACTATAGACCATATATACATACGTTAATATATTTTATATATATATATACATATCTGCACAACGTATGTTTGTGTGTGTGTGTGTGTTTATATATGTAAATTGTGCAAGGAGGGTAACATTTCATACCCTTCACGGTTTCAGACTTAACAGCCACACTCTCAAAAATGCCCTCCAATTGATTCTTTCCCCACCTCACCCTCAGTTTCGAATCATTTCCATTGTTCTGGTTCCTAAAATCCCAAGCCCTATGCTCAGAGCAAATAAGAGTGCTTTTAGTCACAGCATTGTACTTCCCATTTCAAAATATGAATTGGAACAATAGAAAATCTGGGATAATCCTTTTAGAGATGTTTTTACATGGAAAAAGAATAACACAAGATTTTGGATTTGCCGGTGAGTCTTGAAAATAGCTACATTTTTGCCCAGTTCTTTTAGCAGTGTTGTAGAAAGAAGAGTGCCCTGGAGACCATGCCTGCATCTGTCCTCACATGCCATTTTACTCACATCTGTTTTCAAGATTGCCGTGGAATCTCCCCAGGGATTGAAAAGTAATTTACTTCAGACATTTGGATGTACTGGGAGTGGAGAGGTAATGGAAGAGATATTTGAAAATCCTGACTGTGGACAATGGTGGAAAAAACTTTTATTTAGCCTATGTTTTTTCAATGCTGTGATCAACGAAAGAAAAAATTATGGAATATTGGGCTGGAATATTGCCTATAAATTTACTTCTTCAGACTTGGGGGTAAGTGTAGTCTCTTCCAAACTAACAAATAAGTAACAATAAGATACAAATTGAGAGGCTACTAGGTGCCTACACAAATGCTAATAAGTATTTTACATGGTGGCAAAAAAATGAACTCTGTAACTAGGCGATCAGGGCTAACGTTTAGAAACATGGCCTTTGATGTCAGCTTTTCTGGAATCAAATTGCAGCTCCACCTCTTATAGCTGTACAAGTATGTAATCTATTGGGCAAACTAATTAACCTCTCAGAGTCTTAGTTTCCTTGGCCAAAGAAAGCAAACTTGGGCAGACCAAATGTCCATACTGACTCCAGAGGATCAGTATATAATTATAAGCAAACTAATTAATACAAGTAAACGACTTAGAAGAGTGCCTGACAGATATAAATTACCATGGAAATGTTTGTTTGTTGGTATGACTTACTCATTTAAAGCAAAAGAGATTCCATTGACCCATTGTGTGGGGAAAAGTTTAGCTCAATTGTCTTTCTTTACTGTTCTCTATATGGAACCTTCTATTGGTGCTTTATTGCAAGATGTTTTCTTTATTGCTAAAATAAACACACGGTAGAATCTGCTTAAATTTTTCCCAGGTTAACTTTCTTGCAATTGTGCTTCCAGTGTACAACATTACACCCTTGATTACCAATTCATTTTTATATTAGAGCAAATTAAATAATAAAGACTCATGGGTTTTCTAAAGATTGCCATTAAGGTGTTGGAAAACTCCCTGAGAGGACAGCCCAATATTTCGTGGCAAGCACTGCGCCACCTGATTGGAGAAGTGATTTATGGTGGCCGGGTGATCGATAACTGGGACAAGCAATGCTTGAAGACCCTGCTCTACAAATTTTGTAATCCTGAAGTGCTGAAAGATGACTTCAGTTTCTCCAGTGATGGGGTAGGAAAAGAATTTATCTTCTTGCATTTCTTGGTAATTTTAAAGTAAACATTGTTGCATTATTTAAAATACGTCTTTAAATAAATTTTGATGTTCATTTTTAAAGGCTTTTATTAGCTTTCAGTATTATAAAAGTAATTTACCCATGACTCTATTAAATACAACATTATGTAGGGCAGTAAACAAAAAGAATTATTTAAAAATAGTCCATGTCCTTTGAGAATCCAGCATGTAAGATATGAAGCACAAGGAAGCTAACATTTATAAATCAACGATTCCATGCCAGTCACTTGATATATGTTTCTCATTTCATGTTCAAAACAAACAACCATGGTTCTAGATGCTGTTATCAGAAATCCCACATCTTCTCTTGTTCTTTATCCCCTCTCCTCCCGCTCAGTTTCCATCCTCTATCCAAGCCTTCATATTTGTGGAGCAGAAAACTCCAGGTTAGATGCCAGCAGCTGTGTGTCCCTGTCGAGTGGCTGCTAGCAGAGGAAAGAATCGTACAGACCTCTAACCATAGACTGTGGAGGGCAGGACTTGATATAAACTTTGATAGGTGGGAATTTGGATAAGAGAGGTGAATGGAAGATGAAAAGGAAGACGGCAGCTGTGGGTGATCATTGTGAGCTGGCAGTGCGCCTGGTGTAATTAAGAGAAAGAGAGGTCATATCCAGGTTGTCTGTCTGGGGTCTTGAGAATATGGATAGATCAACAGAATAGTAAAAATGATATTTTAGGGAGATACATTTGTAAGGCCTCTATAGAATGGATAGCAGTTGTCTATGTTGATGACCCTGAGTCAATAAGAAGGCATTAAATTGTATCCTTTATGCACTATTTGTCAAGCCAGAAAAAGCTATGAGGTTTTCTTTCTTTTTTTTTTTTTTTTTTTAAAATTTTCATTTAAAAAAAAAAAAAGAGGAAAAGAAAACTATCCTAAGGCCGGATGCAGTGGCTCATGCCTGTAATCCCAGCGCTTTGGGAGGCCAAGGCAGGCAGATCACCTGAGGTCAGGAGTCCGAGACCAGGAGTCCGAGACCAGGCTGGCCAACATAACAAAACCCTCATCTCTACTAAAAATACAAAAATTAGCTAGGCGTAGGCCGGGCGCGGTGGCTCAAGCCTGTAATCCCAGCACTTTGGGAGGCCGAGGCGGGTGGATCACCAGGTCAAGAGATCAAGACCATCCTGGTCAACATGGTGAAACCCAAAAAAAAAAAAAAAAAAAAAAAAAAAATTAGCTAGGCGTGATGGTGCATGCCTGTAGTCCCAGCTACTCAAGAAGCTAAGGATGGAGAATCACTTGAACCCGGGAGGTGGAGGTTGCAGTGAGCCAAGATCACACCACTGCATTCCATCCTGGGCAACAGAGCAAGACCCCGTCTCAAAAAAAAAAAAAAAAAAAAAAACTGTTTAAAATAACATTTAGTTAACATTTTAGTGTTCTTTGGCCAACTGCAGTGGCTCACACTTGTAATCCTAGCACTTTAGAAGGCTGAGGCATATAGATCAGTTGAGGTCAAGAATTCAAGACCAGCATGGCCAACATGGTGAGATCTCAGCTCTACTAAAAATACAAAAATTAACCAGACATGGTGGCACATGTCTGTAGTCCCAGCTACTCAGGAGGCTGAGGCTTAAGAATCGCTTGAACCTGTGAAGCAGAGGTTAAAGTCAGCTGAGATCGCACCACTGCATTCCAGCCTGGGAGACAGAGCGAGATTCCATCTCAAAAAAAAAAAAAGGGTAGGGTTCTTTAAATTGCCCAAAGAATACAATATGCATGGTTTTATACAGACATTAAGTATACACTAAGAGAATAAGGTATACTGTAACATACGGCATACAATTGCATTGGCAGAATTCGATGACAGAAGTGTATTCTGAAATTTATATTTCAATTGTTTAGTTGCTTTAAAACACTGGGAATTTTATGACACTTTCAGCTTACCAGCTCTTCCTGTTCTTTGTCATAATCTTAGCTGCTTCTGCAGGTAATTTTTGGTTTTTGTTTGTTTTTTTGTCAGTTACTGTTAGTTCATTTTTCCCTCTGATCTTCATTCATTCTTTGACATTTTCCTTAATGGTATCAAGAAAGCCACCATCTCCCATTTTCCTGACCACATGAACAATGCATTTCTCTTCTTGTTTAGGGGTCAGTTATTCTTAAGATTTCTCACATTCCTTCTAGGTTTTACTAAAGTAAAATGATTTGTTCAAGCCTTATTGCATTCATTATCTATGGGTATATTTCATTGAGGTAACCGGTGATCAGAATCACCCTCGCCTTTATAGTGTTCTTTTCCTTTCCCTCTTTTCCCAACAAGAAAGTTATACATGCATATCATATGTACATTACAATACAGTAGTCCCAAGATGTTGCTTTTGACAGTGTCTAAAATATACCACATGCAAATAAAAAAGCCTTCGGTATGAAATTTCATGGGAAAATACTGTCTTCAAGCATTAATGAAAGTAGGTATCTTACTCTGGCAAAAACTAACAAAGTGTTCAGAAGTAGCAGAATTGAAGAAAAAAACTAACAAAATGGTTAAATTTTCAGATATGTCAGCCAGTGCCAGAATCTGCAAGCATAAAGGACTGCATACACATTATCCAGTCCTTACCTGATGATGACCCTCCCGAGGTCTTAGGAGTACACCCAGAGGCCATCAGGAGCTGCAGCGAGACCCAGGGCCAGAAGTTTATTGAAAATCTCACTGCCTTGCAACCAAAAACGACCACTACCAACCTCATGATCAGGTAAGAACTCACTAGGAAAAACTGTCCATCAAAAATTATCAGGCTGGATGTGGTGGCTCATGCCTGTAATCCCAGCATTTTGGGAGGCCAAGGGCGGGGGGGGGGGGGGATCACGAGGCCAGGAGTTCAAGACCAGCCTGAGCAACATGGTGAAACCCCATCTCTACAAATAACACAAAAATTAGCCAAGAGTGGTGGTAAGCACCTGTAGTCCCAATAACTTGGGAGATTGAGACCCTATCTCAAAATGAAAAAAAAAAAATTGGTTTGAAAGGATATATAGAAAGGTATAGTCTACATGGCAGAGAAACTAAATTCTACTCCAGTGAGTTCCTTATGTATTTAAGTTCTAAGTTTTAAATTTGTATGTCTAACAAATTTTAACAATTGCTTTTAAAAGATATTTGAATAATATTTGATCCAATTTATAAACTTAAACATTTTCAAATATATTAATATTCATTATAAAGTTAATGTACTTCAATTTGCCTGCCTGCCAGAACTTCTCAAATCTTTGAATAACTTTTATAAAACTAATAATTAAAATATGGTGAATCTTAAATTCTCTTATTTTCTAACATTTTATAGCAATTTAATGAGATTTCAACTTAAAATAATAAATCAGTTTCTCAATTATATCTTTTAATTGGGGTCACAAGACTGACCCCAATCTAATACATGGTATTAAAAGGCCCAATTCACTTAAACATTATAAATATTTAAGATACCAACATATTATAAGGAAATGCTTTTAATAAACATACTAGATATGTTTATTAATGTCCCTTTGGTCACTTTGGGAGGCTATAATTAACCCAATCTTGCTGCCTTTGCTTATCTTGTCTGTGGGGCTTGATTCAAAAATCTATCATAGTCAATGTAATTTCCTTAGTGGTAGCAAATCTTTGCCCTCTGAAGATAGTTTGACTTTTGACACCTTTTGACCTTTTGAATTATTTGAAGCCACCTGGGATGAATTCTACAGAGAAAACCAACTTTAAAGTCAGAACAGTGTGATGACAAAGTAAGGAGCCATGTGACCTCAGGCAACCTGTAAACTGGTTCAGAAGCAGCTCTGTAGGACTAAATACTTCGTGGCAGCTTTAATGTTATCGCTTACCTTGAAGGAGGACATTCATTTGACTGTGAAACTTGGAGTGTTTGTTGAAAAATCATTCCCTACTAGCAAACAGAACAACAGAGAGAGGGAACTCAAAAGAGATGTGCCCCATTCCCTACTGATCCAGTAACTGTCTAAGGAGGTTCTCCCACCTTCCTGGGCCCTGGTTTCATCATCTTTAAAAAAATTTAATTTATTCCAAGAATATTCAGATATACTTTAATACAAAAAAATGAAATGTATAAAAAATTATTCATTGAAATTCTGTTTGTAATAATAAAATATTGAGAACGGCAAAAAAAAAAAAAAAAAAAAAGGAATGCAAAGAACTCTTCCAGCTCTCCTGTTTTAGTGGTTCTGCGTAGTATTGCAGCCTCACCTAGCTGGGCCCCGCACCCCCCCTGTCCCCCCCCCAACGGAGTGTGAGCTTAGGAAGCCCTTCCTGTAAACACAGAACGGAACAAGCAGTGGAACGCTGCATGCCGCTGCTTCAGCGTGCTATTTAGTTGCCTCCTCTTTTTCATTGCCTTGCAAATGCATTCAGATGATTATTTTACAAAGAAATTCTAAAAAAGCTTTTATAATACGTGTTTCCTTGCAAATGTCTAAAGTACATTGGACAGTTTCTCATCTGTAAAATGAAATGAATTCCATGGTCTCTGTAAGATCATCCATAGTATGGTTTTGTGGTTCTGTTTATCTTCAGATGGAACTTAAGCAGAGAGCCCTCTAACATTAGATAGATACCTGTAGCTCATTTTTCTCGTTTCCTTTTTTTAATTTTTATTTTCCTTTTCTTTTTTTTTTTTCTTTTTCTTTGATTTTTCTTCCTTTTTTTAATTTTTTTAATCTGTTTTTTCTTTTTTCTTTTTTTGAGACAGAGTCTCACTCTGTTACTCAGGCTGGAGTGCAGTGGCGCCGTCTCTGGTCACTGCAACCTCCACCTTCCAGGTTCAAGTGATTCTCGTGCCTCAGCTCCTGAGTAGCTGGGATTACAGGGACCCACCACACCTGGCTAATTTGTGTATTTTTGGTAGAGACGGGGTTACACCACATTGGCCAGGCTGATCTCGAACTCCTGACCTCAAGTGATCTGCCCACCTCAGTGTCTCAAAGTGCAGGAATTACAGGCGTGAAACATCATGCCCAGCCAATTTTTATTTTTTTAACTGACATAATAATTGTACATATTTCTGTGGCACATAGTGATGTTTTGATACATACAACATATAATGATCAGATCAGGACAATTTACATGTCTATCATCTCAAACATTTATCATTTCTTTGTGTTGGAAACTTTCAGTATCCTCTCTTCTAGCTATCTGAAGGTGTGTAATCTATTTGTATTAACTATAGTCATCCTACAGTGGTATAGAACACTAAAACTTATTCCTCCGGTCTCCTGGTAATCTTGAATCCTTTAACAAATCTCTCCCATCTCCCTCTTCCCACTCCATGTCTCAATCTTCTCTTGGTTTCTTTTGCAGACCTGAGCAGAGTAATGAGGAACTGGTGATGGAAATTCTCTCCGATTTGCTACATCGGCTGCCACTGACAGTGGAGAAAGAAGAACATGCTGTGGGAATGCCAACCACTTTGAAGAGCATGATGTCAAGCTCCATTTGGGAGTCTCTTTCTAAAAATCTCAAAGGTGAGCGTGGGACATGAGCTTTTTCCCTTTACCTCACCCTCCTCAGGAAAGGACTCTGGCATCAGGAGTAAGGTAAAGATTGGACAAAAATTCCACAGAAGTGGAAAGACTGAGATAAGTAGGAAAACTCAGTCTCTGCCTCCTCTCTCCAAGCTGAAAGACAGAGAGCAGGGAAGAAAATCACACTTTAGTTTGGGGGTTGGTAGCATGTGGCACTGAGATCAAAAGTGAAGAAATAAGTGTAGCCAACCAGAAAGCAGCAATTCTGCTTGGGTGATTCTCAAGAGCTCCTAGATGCCTATTCTCTCTGCCTCTCTGCCTTCTGGAACAGCAGAGGTTTAGATGGACCTTCTGCTGGAAGACCACTTGGCTCTGAGAAGCTAAGGGGAATCAGGACAGGTCCAGGAAAACAGAGGACGCCTGGTTGCCCAGAGATGGCTCCAAACCCATCTCTAAGGGGCTAAATTGCTGGACTATGATAATTTTCCCAGTTATTTTAATATCCATATTCTATGCCTTTCAAGAAGTTTATTTGGGAACCAAATATTGAGCAATAGTCTAACAAAACAGTATTATTGTTGAGTCTCAATCAAGCCAGTAAATTAGGGCTCACAGGCCAAATCCAGCCCACCCTTTTTTTTTGTACAGCCTGTGAACTAAAATGGCTTTTGCATTTTTTAATGGCTGAAAAAAACACAAGGAAGAAATATAGTTTGCAACACATAAATGTTATATGAAATTCAAATTTGAGTGCCCATAAATAAAGATTTATTGGAACACAGCCACACTTACTCATGACATATTGTCCATGCATCCATACGTGGTAGATAGTGTGGCTATACAAGTACATAGTGTGGCCACACCCACACTGCAAGCGGAGAGCAGAGTAGCTTTCAGAGACGGTGTGGTCCCCACACCCTAAAATGTTTGCTATCTGACCTTCTACAGAAAATGTTTATCAACCCCTTGTCAAGACACACGAAACTCCCTTAACTTTCAAAGCCTAAGTCCCTCCATGTAAAGCCTCTTTTTTATCTGTAAAATATCAAAATTTTATCTCGTTTTAAAATCTAGATCACGACCCCCTTATCCATTGTGTCTTGCTAACCTTTTTGAAGCAAGAAATTACACGATTTGATAAGTTATTATTTGTCATACATAAATCCTTAAAAGATCTTCAACTTGCTATAAAAGGAGAGATCATCCTCACCCAAGAATTGGAGGAAATATTTAACTCTTTTCTTAATATGAGAGTGCCTACATTGTGGCAGGTAAGCAGTTATTCTTATTTCCTATTTTCTTGCTTGCTTGAAATAAATGTCCAGGTTCAAGGGAATGGTGAAGTTAACTGGTGCATCTGCATGATGAAACATGTAACTATTAAAAGATGCTGATGTACTTTTTCATATTTTCATATCTCTGAAGTTGGAATGCCTCTTAACAGTCACTGTTGCCACACGGCACCATCACTTAGTTATCACCATGTGTGTGTCTATGCATTACGGCAGTTCATGTCCTAGTAGGTGCACTGTTGGTACTACTATAAGTGTTGAATATAATTGCTTTTAAAATAAAAACAAAGCTAAACAAGATAATGAAGAAATTGCTGGGTTGTGGTCTTAAACAGAAGGCCAAATTGTAAAAACACAAAATTTATTAGACCAGGAATAAAATAAGCCATGGAAGACCTGGCAGCACAGAGTAGGAAATTAACAAGCTCGATGCTGGACACTAACACTATTTCCCTAGAAATGAACTTCTCCCCTTACAATTAGCACTGGCCTCTTCCAGAACCCTGAAACCTATACCAGATTAAAAACCTGTGTAGACATGTAAAAAGATGTTCAACATCATTTGTTTTCAGGGAAATGCAAATCAAAACCATAATGAGATACAACTTCACACCTACTAGGATGGACAGAATTAAAAAAGACATTAAAAACAAGCGTTGGTGAGGAGGTAGGGACACTGAAACCCTCATACACCACTCATGGGAATGAAAAATAGTACAGCCACTTTGAAAATAGTGCGGAAGTTTCTCAAAAAGTTAGAGAGATTTACCATTTGACTCAGCAGTTTCACTCCTAAGAATATACCCAAGAAAAATTAAAACATATGTCCAGGCCGGACACCGGGGCTCACACCTGTAATCCCAGCGCTTTGCAAGTTCAAGGCAGCAGATCACCTGAGGTCAGGAGTTCAAGACCAGCCTGCCCAACATGGTGAAACCCCGTCTCTACTAAAAATAAAAATTAAAAAATTAACCAGGTATGGTGGCAGGCACCTGCAATCCCAGCTACTTGTGAGGCTAAGGCAGGAGAATTGCTTGAACCCAGGAGGTGGAGGTTGCAGTGAACCAAGATCATGTCATTGCACTCCAGCCTGGGTGACAGGGGGAGACTCCATCTCCAACAACAACAAAAAAAGTCCACACAAAACTTGCATATGAATGTTCATGGCAGCATTATTTATAATACCCAAAAGGTGGAAACAACTCAAATGTCCACTGACTGATGATGAATGGATAAAATATGGTATGCCCCTGTAATGAAATAACATTCAGCCAGCAAAATGAATGAAGTGCTGATACATGCTACAGCATGGATAAAGCTTAAAAACAATAGGTTTTTCGTGCTATGTGTAAGAAGGCCATCACAAAGACCATATATTGTATGATTTCATTTACAGGAAATGTTCAGAATAGACAAATCCATAGTGACAGAAAGTAGATTACTGGTTGCCTTGGTTTGTGGGTGACAGGGAATTGGAGAATGGATGCTAAAAGGGTTTTCTTTTGGAGTCAAGAAAATGTTCTACAATCGACTACAGTAGTGATTGCACAACTCAGTGAATATACGAAAACCATTAATTTGTATGCTTTAAATAAGTAAGCTGTATGGCATTTGAATTATATCTCAAAGTTATTTTTTAAACCTATGTAGAAAACATGAAGACAGGTGAGAGGAAATAATGACAATTATAATTCTTTAAAATTGAATACAAGCCGTGATGAAAAATTGAAATACGGAGACACATCTAGAATCATAGGACTTCAGAGCTTAAAAGGATCTTAGGGATCCTCCACTCCAATGACCTTATTTTACAGATACGAAAACAAAAAAGCAGAGAGGCCTTATTACATGCTTAGCAAGCCCAGTGGTGAAATAGCTAGGACTCTGTAAGTGCAAAGTAAGGCTAAAGGAACACGGCTGAGTTGGTACACTCTGAGTACAGTCACATGTGGCTGAGGCCATTGCTCACTTGACAGAGTGACAAGAGCTGAGATTAGTCAGGTAGAAATGTCCAGCTTGGACCAATGGTTAGGAAGTCATGCATTCAGAGATGGGGTGGGCAGAAAGACGTGCTGTTTGAGGAACAGACGACGGCATCCTGTTTTAGACATGGAAAGTGTGAGGAGCTAGAGGGGCTCTCACGTAGAGCTATTGAAAAGCAATGGGACAAAAGCACAGGCTACAAAGCGAGTGCTTGGTGTCATCAGCCTAGACAGAGCCATGGATTAAATCAGGGAGAGGGAATGTAAAGTAGCAAGAGAAGAGGGCTAAAGGGACTCTGGGCAACACCAGCCTCGAGGGAGGGAAGAAGAGGAGCCAGTGAATGAGACCTAAAAAGAAGTAGTCGGAGAATTCGAGAGAAAGCCAGGGTGGAGTCTAGTCACAGAAGCCAAAGCAAGGGAGCAGGAGGAAGCAGTGGGCTCCGTCAAAAGCTGCAGAGGATACAGGTGCAAGGAGTGACGCTTGAATATGGAAAATAGAAGGTCACTTGTGGTTTCTAAGGAGGACTCCAGAAGAGGGTACAGTAAACAAAAGAAGAAGCTATTGGGCTGCAGGATTCTCCTCCTCCCCACTTGCATCGAACAGGTAGGATTGAGTGTTGGGTGATTTATGTAGTTAAGATGGACAGTGCACTAATAAACAGGGATGGAGGATGGAAAGCGGAATCCACAGAAGGGAGAGGAGGTATGCCAGAAGGCTGTGCAGAGCACAGGGGCAAGGGCAACTTGGCTCAGAACTGGATGGCAAAGCAGGGAAAGGGAGTAGACAGTGGGTGGGATGTAGAGAACTTTGTATAGGGGAAGGCCAGGAAGCTGAAATTGCTCATGCCCAATAGCATGTGAAGGTGATCTCCCCCAAACAGGAGAAAAGAGGATGAGGAAATGAAAAGATTTGAAGAGAGTGATAAAAGCCTTCAGCCAGAATAGAAGCTTCCAAGCGTTTTATTCAAAGCACTATTAGGATAATGTTGTTTTGCCCTGGTAATAAGGGCTAGACTTTTCATTGTGTGCTTTCAGTTGGAAAATGACATCCTCCTGCCAAGGTATTTCTCCCTGGCAATTGAGCCTATTACCAAGGTTTGCAGAAATGTTCCTGATGACCCCAAAGACAAAGGAAAAAAATGATGTGACTGTCTTTAAATCCCAACAGAAACACGCCTACACGTCATGTAAGCCACTGAGTTCCTGGATTGATGATCTCCTCCAGCGGCTGAATTTCTTCAATACTTGGGCCAAAGTGGCTTACACTGCGATACAGCGTCGGTATGGGTGAAAGCTGCTTTACACTCCCTTCCTCGGTTTTGCTTAAAGCCTAAAGGTTTATGACATCATTTCCCATGCTTGGTTTCCTTGTGTTCTCACAGTAACGTGTGAATTAAGCAAGGGAGGGATTCTTATCTGCCCTTTGAGCTGAGAAAGTGAGGACCTAAGGTGTTGAGTCTTGTGTAAGCTCCCTCACTCAAGAGACGGAGTTATGACTACAACATAGTACATTTCTCTTTCCTAAGAAATGCACAGGATGAAATGTGAAAGGGAATAATTAGTTACATGTAATTTTTATTTTTATTTATTTTATTCTGAAACAGAGTCTCGCTGTCATCCAGGCTGGGGTGCAATGGCACAATCTCAGTTCACTACAACCTCCGCCTCCAGGGTTCAAGCGATTCTTCTCCCTCAGCCTCCCAAGTAGCTGGGACTACAGGCACCTGCCACCACGCCCAGCTAATTTTTTGTATTTTTAGTAGAAGTGGGGTTTCACCATGTTGGCCAGGCTGGTTTTGAACTCCTGACCTCAAGTGATCCACCTGCCTCGGCCTCTCAAAGTGCAGGGATTACAGGCGTGAGCCATCGTGCCCAGCCACGTTTAATTTTCACATGTGTTTAGTTATAATAAAAATAGCTTGAGAGGCATTAGAGTAGCTGGCATCTAACAAGTGCCTCACAGGATGTGGAATATTTTGTTAGGAGCTTTACTCACAGCAGCCCTTGATGTGAAGGAGGTGCCGTCATTATCATCATCCCCATTTTAGAGATGAGGAAACTGTCCAAGGGCATGAAGTGCCCAAGGTTACACAAGTAGAACATGGAAGTGTTGAGACTTGAACTCAGAACTCGTTCCAAAGTCTGAGCCAAGCTGCCTCCTGTATTTACATTTGCTACTGTAAGTGTAGCAACAGAACAAATTCACATCTTTATATCCTTTGTGAGATGTCTGTAACTCAAAAACAACGGACAAGATTCCACAAGGCCCAGGCAGGATTCCCACTATAATAATGACATCTCGTTACCCAAATCTGTTGCCTTCCAGCCTTTGTGCTCCCTCTTTTCCTTCAAGACCTTAAAACCGTAGTTGGCTTCTATTCAAGGACTGGATAAGAGTCCTGCACTGGGGAAGTTGAAATGAAAAGTAAACGAAGGGCCCAGGGAGGGGAGGAACTGGGGGAAATGGCCCACATCACCCAAAGATGTGCAATTATTATGCCCTTAATCCCCCAATTTGTGGTCTGCCTTCCACTAGGTATATGAGATTTGTCACAATTTGGAAGCAGCCTGTTCCATCATCTAGCCAAAAATGCAAATACCATGATGATTCAGAGAACAATCTCTTTGAAGGGTTTCCTTCAAGATACTGGCTCCCAGCTTTCTTCTTTCCACAAGGTGAGCATTAGAACCAAGGTCAGCTCCAGACCTGGCCCAACCAAGTTTGCACTCAATTGCCCTGTCACTCACCTTTCTCTCCTCCCCTTTAAGATGAGAGCACCTGCACCCCCACAAGTGCCTGGGTCTCTCGTGTGCACTAGAGCAGCTCTTCCTCTCCACCCACTTCCTTCCCTCACCCCAACCTCCTCACATGCCAAATCCACCCACCCCTATCAGATTTCACCTGTTTCTGCCTGCTCAGCACAAATGTCCAGCAGGAGAGGCAGGCATGAACCAGAGCACGTTCCAACGATGTGTGGTTGGGGGGGGGGGTGTAAAGAGAGCTGTAAAGGGGTGACACTGGGCTGTGAGCTCCACGAAGGCAGGAACCAAGACTGTTTTAATTTCTGTGGTGTCCCTAGCCCCTGATACAGCCCCTAGCACACGCGTACAAAGCTCTCACTAAAATTTGAAGAATGAATGAATGGCTTTCTCAATGGAATATAGGAATGGATCAGTACTTGTGGAGCATAAAACAGGGGGACCTTCACTAAGAGCCAGGGAAGCCCACTAAGGAAATAACATCTAGGATGAGTCTTGAAGCTTGCTACCAATTAAGTATTATCCAGGTGCAGACAGAGGAAGAAAAGAATAATTCGTAGGGCTTCCATAGTACTTATTAGGTGCCATGCACTGTTCTGAGGACTTTGTATAAATTAAGTCATTTAATTCTCATGACAACCTTATGAGGTTTTTACTAGAACTATCCCTGTTTTCAGACAGAAAACCTTGGCACAGAAAAATTAAGGAATTTGCCCCAAGTCATATCACTAGCAAGAAGTTGAGAGTCCCGTCCAAGGTCACTCCACTACTAAGTGGAATGATGCGGGGGGCGGGGGGGGGGGACACGACTAGTGACTGAGCCAAGATTTGAACTCAGCCTGACTTAAAATGTTGAGTGTTTAGATGACTGCACTAAGTAGGGACAGCATTCTTATTAGAGAAAACACCATTCAGATTAGGAGAAACCAAATGTTCATTATGGCCAGAACAAAAGACCCCCAGAGGGAGAATGGTTGCAACTGCAAAGGTGGACACGGCTGGCCCCTGGGGCTGTGTAACACACACTAAGGAAGTCTACTCCATCCTGTGGCAGCAGAAACCACTGAAGTGTTTCAGGCCAGAGAGGTCATGATCCAGCAGCTGTAGGAAGGAAGAAGGGCAGGAGTGCAGTGGAGAAGAACAAGACTGGGTCCTGGTCATTTAAGGAGTCTGCAGATTAGCGGGGTGTGGTGGTGCACACCTGTAGTCCCAGCTACTCAAGAGGCTGAGGCAGGAGAATTGCTTGAGCCCAGGAGGTCAAGGCTGCAGTGAGCCCCAAGCCACTGTTCTCCAGCCTGGGCAACAGAACAAGACCCTGTCTTGTCAATCAATCAATCAAATAAGGAATCTGCTTTATTCTCCAGGCAAGAGCTGATGGTGATCAGAGTAAGGCAGTGGTAGTGGGGCAGAAGTGGGGAGTAGGGGGCATTTAGGAACCAGAACCAACTAGACTCCGTGTTTGGAAGGATAGAGGTAGCAGGGAGAAGGAGGTTAAGCATGACTCCTGGATCTCTGGCTTGGAAAGCTGGGTGGTTGCTGGCATCCTTCACTGAAATATGGAGCACAGGGAGAGGAGCAGGCTGATGGGGATCAGAGAGACAGACATGGCAAGTTTGAGAGGTTCTCATTTTTTTCCTACTGCACATAGCCTTTCTCCATGCACCCAGGGAAAACATGGCCACAAGCAGCTCAGCAACCCTGGAGGCAACAGAACCTTCCTTCTCCCAGTGTCCATATGACATTTATGAGAAAGACTCTGACACACTCGTTTGTTTCCAAAAGGATGAGGTATGATTATCAGCCAAGATTGGCTCAGAAATGGAGAGGGTCTCAGAATTTACAGCCCCTCTATCCCCACAATGAATACAGGAGGGGTGCTGGCCTTGAAAAGCAACCCATGTTCACCAGGAGGCTCCCGCAGCTGGCCAGACCAGTCACCAAGGCCTGAGAGGGTGGGTGAACTAGTGCTCTGCTCCTGCCTAGCCCATCTCTTTGTCCTTTTTCCTCCACTCTTCCCTTCATCCTCCATGAGACATCATTGTTGCTAGCCCCAGCAGGAAACCCTGAGACTCACAAGGAACCTGATGGTGTGTGTTCTTCTCCAAAGCTTTTCTTGCTGCTGTGCTTCAAGACTATGGGAGGTCCCGAGGAATCTCTGTGGATACCCTCACCTTCACCCACCATGTGATTTCCGACACCACTGACAAAGATGAGAAGTTCTCTGTATTTATGCAAAAGAAACTCAACATAGTCAGGAGAGCCTTTAAGGTACGGGAATACTTAAAAGATTAGAAAGAGTAATCATTCATTAATTCATTTAATCAATTATGCCCTCAACAAACCTTTATTCAGCACTTTCTGTGTGCCAGGCACTAGAGAGGCAAATCAACAAGGCACAGCCCTGCTTCAAGTCCAAATGCCCTCAGACTTCCTCTTTCCCCACTCTCTTTCTGAGGGAAAAATATTATAAATCATGAATAAAAGATTTAAGTCAATACAATAAACAGACTTTCTAAGTATCCCCTATTATAAATGAAGACAGATGCTACTGAGGTCAGAATCGAAAGGTGATATTTTAAATCAGTGGGCAAACCTCTCCTGGCAGCTCTTGGCTGAAATGCCTGCCCCCAGCAACTGGCTCATTCCAGAGCTCAGCCAGGTGCCAAGTGGAAACCTGCACCCTCCCAGTCCTCAGCAGTGCAGTGAGGGGGACGTGTGGAGGCGGCTTGGGCTGGCGCAGGGCACAGAGCACCAGCAAGCCAGATGCACTGTGCACCCCAACCCTGCCACTTCCCCACCACTGTCCCCACTGATTTGAAGGGCCACAGTTGTCATTTACTAAATTCCAATTTCTTCTGGGAATCTATTTTTCTGCTCCAGGACCAATGCTGGGGAGGAAGCAGGGACAGGGTTGGGAGAGGTTAAAGATTGAAAAAAGAAAAAAAAAAAAAAAAAAGAATGTGAAATAATGCTCAGTATCTTTAGCATTCTCTCTCCCCTACCCCACCCCCAAACTGTCCACTGTGTGTGATGCTCCTCTCCCTGAGTCCACGTGTTCTCGTTGTTCAACACACACCTATGAGTGAGAACATATGGTACTTGCCTTTCTGTTCTTGGGTCAGTTTGCTGAGAATGATGGTTTCCAGATTCATCCAAGTCCCTACAAAGGACACAAACTCATCTTTTTTTATGGCTGCATAGTATTCCATGGTGTGTTTGTACATTTTCTTTGTCCAGTCTATTGTTGATGGGCATTTGGGTTGGTTCCACGTCTTTGCTATTGTACACACTGCTGCAATGAACATATGTGATGTGTCTTTATAGTAGAACAATTTCTAGTTCTTTGGGTATATACCCAATAGTGGGATTGCTGGGTCAAATGGAATTTCTATTTCTAGATCCTTGAGAAATCGCCACACTGTCTTCCACAATGGTTGAACTAATTTACACTCCCACCAACTATGTAAGAGTGTTCCTGTTTCTCCACATCCTCTCCAGCAACTGTTGTCTCCCAATTTTTTAATGATCATCATTCTAACTGGCGTGAGATGTCTCAGTGTGGTTTTGATTTGCATTTCTCTAATGACCAGTGATGAAGAGCATTTTTTCATGTTTGTTGGCCTCATATATGTCCTCTTTTGCAAAGTGTTCATATCCTTCGCCCACTTTTGAATGGGGTTTTTTTCGTGTATATCTGTTTTAGTTCTTTGTAGATTCTGGATATTAGCCCTTTGTCAGATAGGTAGATTGCAAAAAATTTTTCCCATTCTGTTGGTTGCCGATTCACTCTAATTATGGTTTCCTTTGCTGTACAGAAGCTCTGGAGTTTCATTAGATCCCATTTGTCTATCCTGGCTTTTATTGCCATTGCTTTTGGTGTTTTAGTCATGAAGTCCTTGCCTATGCCTATGTCCTGAATAGTTTTGCCTACGTTTTCTTCTAGTGTTTTTATGGTGTTAGGTTTTATGTTTAAATCTTTGATCCATCTGGAGTTGATTTTAGTGTAAGGTGACAGGTAGGGGACCAGTTTCTGCTTTCTGCACATTGCTAGCCAGTTTTCCCAACACCATTTATTAAACATGGAGTCCCTTCCCCATTGCTTGTTTTTGCTGGGTTTGTCAAAGATCAGATGGTTGTAGATGTGTGGTGTTTCTTCTGGGGTCTCTGTTCTGTTCCATTGGTCTATGTCTCTATTTTGGTACCAGTACCATGCTGTTTTGATTACTGTAGCCTTGCAGTATAGTTTGAAGTCTGGCAGTGTGATGACTCTGGCTTTGTTATTTTTGCTTAGGATTGTCTTGGCTATGCGGGGTCTTTTGTGATTCCGTATGAAGTTTAAAGTGGTTTTTTCCAGTTCTGTGAAGAAGGTCATTGGTAGCTTGATGGGGATAGCATTGAATCTATAGATTACTTTGGGCAGTATGGCCATTTTCACAATATTTATTCTTCCTAACCATAAGCATGGAATGTTTCTCCGTCTGTTTGTGTCCTCTCTTATTTCGTTGAGCAGTGGTTTATAGTTCTCCTGAAGAGGTCCTTTACATCCTTTGTTAGTTGTATTCCTAGGTATTTTATTCTCTTTGTAGCAATTATGAATGGGAGTTCGCTCTTGATTTGGCTCTGTTTGTCTGTTATTGGTTTACAGAAATGCTTGTGATTTTTTACACATTGATTTTGTATCCTGAGACTTTGCTGAAGTTGCTTATCAGTTTGAGAAGATTTTGGGCTGAGACGATGGGGTCTTCTAGATATAAAGTCATGTCATCTGCCAATAGAGACAGTTTGACTTCCTCCTTTCCTAATTGAATACCTTTATTTCTTTTTCTTGCCTGATTGCTCTGACTAGAACTTCCAATACTATGTTGAATAGGAGTGGTGAGAGAGGACATCCTTTTCTAGTGCCTGATTTCAAAAGGAATTCTTCCAGCTTATGTCTGTTCAGTATGATATTGGCTGTAGGTTTGTCATATATAGCTTTTATCATTTTATGATATGTTCCATCAATACCTAGTTTATTGAGAGTTTTTAGCATGAAGCGCTGTTGAATTTTATCTAAGGCCTTCTCTACATCTATTGAGATAATCATGTGGTTTTTGTCTTTGGTTCCATTTATGTGATGGATTACATTTATGGATTTGTGTATGTTGAACCAGCCTTGCATCCCTGGGATGAAGCCTACTTGGTCATGATGGATAAGCTTCTTGATGTGCTGTTGCAATCTGTTTGCCAGTAGATTTTTGCGTCGATGTTCATCATGGATATTGGCCTGAAGTTTTCTTTTTGAGTCTCTGCCTGGTTTTGGTATCAGGATGATATTGGTCTCATAAAATGAGTTAGGGAGGATTCCCTCCTTTTGTATTGTTTGATACAGTTTCAGAAGGAATGGAACCAGCTCCTCTTTGTACGTCTGGTAGAATTCAGCTATGAACCCGTCTGGACCTGGACTTTTTTTGGTAGGCTATTGATTGCTGCCTCTACTTCAGCCCTTGTTATTGGTCTATTCAGGGTTTCAGCTTCCTCCTGGTTTAGTTTTGGTAGAGTACAAGTGTCTAGGAATTTATCCATATCTTCCTGGTTTAGTGGTTTATGTGAGTAGAGCTTTTTGTAGTAATCTCTGATGGTAGTTTGTATTTCTGTGGGATCAGGGGTGGTATCCCCTTTATCGTTTTTTATTGCATTTATTTGATTCTTCTCCCTTTTCTTTTTTATTAATCTGGCTAGTGGTATATTTTGTTGATCTTTTCGAACAACCAGCTCCTGGATTTATTGGTTTTTTTGAAGGGTTTTTTGTGTCTCTATCTCCTTCAGTTCTGCTCTGATCTTAGTTATCTCTTGTCTTCTGCTAGCTTTTGAGTTTTTTTGATCTTGCTCCTCTAGTTCTTTCAATTTTGATGATAGGGTGTCAATTTTAGATCTTTCCTCTCTTCTCTGGTGGGCATTTATCGCTATAAATTTCCCTCTCAATACTGCTTTAAAGGTATCCCAGAGATTCTGGTAAGTTGTGTCTACATTCTGGTTGGTTTCGAAGAACATCTTTATTTCTGCCTTCATTTCATTGTTTATCCAGTCAACATTCAGAAGCAAGTTGTTCAGTTTCCAAGTGGTTGTGCGGTTTCCAGTGTGTTTCTTGATCCTGAGTTCTAGTCTGATTACGCTGTGGTCTGATAGACTGTTTGTTATGATTTCTGTTCTTTTGCATTTGCTGAGGAGTGATTTGTTTCCAATGATGTGGTCAATTTTAGAGTAAGCACAATGTGGTGCTGAGAAAAATGTATATTCTGTGGATTTGGGATGGAGCATTCTGTGTATGTCTATTAGATCCACTTGGTCCAGCTCTGGATTCAAGTCCTGGATATCCTTGTTAATTTTCTGTCTCGTTGATCTAATATTGATAGTGGAGTATTGAAGTCTCCCACTATTATTGTGTGGGAGTCTAAATCTCATTTTAGGTCATTAAGAACTTGCCTTATGTATCTGGGTGCTCCTGTGTTGCAGGCGTATATATTTAGGATAGTTAGCTCTTCCTGCTGGATTGATCCTTTTACCATTATGTAGTGTCCTTCTTTATCTCTTTTGATCTTTGTTGGTTTGAAGTCCATTTTGTCAGAGACTAGGATTGCAACCCCTGCTTTTTTTTTGTCCTCCATTTGCTTGGCAAATCTTCTTCCAACCCTTTACTTTGAGTCTATGTGTGTCTTTGTATGTGAGATGGGTTTCTTGAATACAGCATATCAATGGGTTCTGACTTTTTAATCCAGTTTGCCAGTCTGTGTCTTTTGATTGGGGCGTTTAGGACATTTACATTCAATGTTAATATTGTTATGTGTGAATTTGATCCTGCCATTTTGTTACTGGCTTTCTTTCTCATTAGTTGACTCATTTTCTTCATTGCATTTTTGGGCTTTGCCAACTGGTTTGCTTTTTGCAGTGACTGGTATTTGCTCCTTTCCATGCTTAGTGTTTCTTTGAGAAGGTCTTGTAGGGCAGGTCTGGTAGTGACAAAAATCTCTCAATAATTCTTGTCCGTAAGGGATTTTATTTCTTCTTCACTTCTGAAGCTTAGTTTGGCTGGGTATGAGATTCTGAATTGAAAGTTCTTTTCTTTAAGGATGTTGAGTATTGGCCCCCACTCTCTTCTGGCTTGGAGGGTTTCTGCCGAGAGATCTGCTGTGAGTCTGATTGGCTTGCCTCTGTGGGTGACCTGACCTTTCTCTCTGGCTGCCCTTAGCAGTTTTTCCTTCATTTCGACCCTGGTGAATCTGATGATTATGTGCCTTGGGGTTGCTCTTCTTGAGGAATATATTTGTGGAGTTCTATTTCCTGAATTTGAAATTTGGACTGCCTTACTAGGCTTGGGAAGTTCTCCTGGATAATATCCTGGAGTGTGTTTTCCAGCTTGGATTCATTCTCCCCATCATAATCAGGTACACCAATCAAGTATAATGAGGTTTTTTCACATAATCCCGTATTTCTTGGAGGCTTTGTTCATTTTTCACTCTTCTCTCTCTTGTATTGCCTTCTCTTTTTATTTCATTGAGTTGATCTTCAATCTCTGATATCCTTTCTTCTGCTTGATCAATTCGGCTATTAAAACTTGTGTTTGCTTCACATAGTTCTCGTGCTGTGTTTTTCCACTCCATCAAGTCATTTATGTTCTTCTCTAAGCTGGTTATTCTAGTTAGCATTTCGTCTAACCTTTTTTCAAGGTTTTTGGTTTCTTTGCATTGAGTTAGAACATGCTCCTTTAGCTCTGAAAAGTTTGTTATTATCCACCTTCTGAATCCTGCTTCCGTCAATTCTTCGCACTCCTTCTCAGTCAAGTTGTGATCCTGTGTTGTTGAGGAGTTGTGATCCCTTGAAGGAGAAGAGGTGTTCTGGTCTTTGATGGTTTCACCTTTTTTGTGCTGGTTTTTTCCCATCTTTGTGGATTTACCTGGCTGTGGTGTCAAGAGAGCTGCTTGAGGACATCGCTTGTCTGCCTGTGGGGGCGCTACTGGGTTTCTAGGGACTCCTTCAGGTTCCCAGGGAAGCTTCCTGTGTGTCTTTTTTCTTTATGCTGGGAGATTAGGCCTGCCTCTTCCGCTGACCTGTAGGCGCTGCTGGGTTGTCAAGAATGCTGTCCCATTGCTACACAGGAAGCCTGTGTGTGTTTTTTTTAAATATGTAGCCCAGTCCCACCCCTCTAGTGGTGGATTGTGCCCTTCCTCCACTGGGCTGGATCATTAAGCGTTCATCTCAGACTGTGGCACTGGCTGTGCAACCCACTAGAGTCAGAGCTTCAGCCCTCTGGGGTTTGTGGGGGAGGGTAAGGACCCACCCAGCCACACCTGGCAGTCTCCCCATTTCAGCTTTCTCTCTCTCTGGTCATGGGGTAGGGGCCACCCAGCTGCTCCCGCTTACAGCTCCCTCTCTCTCCCAGCAAGGGGAGGGGGCGATAGCTCAGTCTGCAGACTCTTACTCAACTCTGCACTTGTAATTCCCGGGGCTTGACTGGCAAAGATCCCCTGTTCTGTGTATTGCTGAGGCTTTGGGGGAAGCGCTGTATCTGGACCAGAGCGCCAGAGGTGGAGCCTCTGACTTGCGGGTCAGATGTACTTTCTGAGTGAAGCAACACCCCTCCCCGCCTCCATCTGCCCTGAGTGGGCTTTGCTCACCCTCAGACCAGGCCCGTTGAAATGCACCTGGTACCTTGGTCGAAGCTAGGAGATCTCTGGGTTTCTGCCTCTCTCGCTGGGTGTTGTGCGCTGGAGTTGTGTCTAATCCGCCATCTTGGATCCTCCTTCCAGTGCTTTTATAGTTGCATTCTGGGATTTGGGGTGGGAGGAGGTGGTGGACACTCATGCTGTTTGGCCTCTTGGTCCAGTCCTGGTCTTCCTCTCCTCAGCACTCATCAGATTGCACTGAAGATGATTCTGAGACTACCCAGAATTAGTCAATGTTAGAAACATATTAGAAGAAGGATAAAACTGGGAGAATTTGTCCTACAAGGCAAAAGACTAAAGAGAAAAAGAAATATTGAAAAGGGTGATACATGAATTAGACTCTAATTCTACCAGAACTCCAGTGAGGGGGAGCTCCAAGGGAAAGACACATCGTCTAAACTGATGATGATGGTGGAGTATCCTTTTTTCTTTTTTTTTTTGGAGACAGAGTTTCACTCTTGTTGCCCAGGCTGAAGTGCAATGGCACAATCTCGGCTCTTGCTGACCAGGCTGAAGTGCAATGGCACAATCTCGGCTCACCACAACCTCAGCCTCCCGGGTTCAAGTGGCCCACTTGATCTTCTAAAGGGTAGAAGCCTTATTTTGTTCATCCCTATATTTCCAACAGCCAGGGACACATATTTTTCAAGTGAGTGAATTAAGTCGAAAACACATCTGAACCTGAATTTTCTTCCATGTCAGTACTCTTGCCAAGTGGTCACCTGATTTGGGGTGGCACCCGCCACCATGTCTGGCTAATTTTTGTATTTTTTTTTTTTTTCAGTAAAGACAAGGTTTCACCATGTTAGCCAGGATGGTCTCAATCTCCTGTCCTCAGGTGATCTGCCCACCTCAGCCTCCCAAAGTGCTGGGATTACAGGCATGAGCCACTGCACCCAGCCTACCTGCATTATTTAATCCTCACAGCCTCCTGAGTAGCTGGGATTACAGGCATGAGCCACCACACCCAGCTAATTTTTTATATTTGTAGTAGAGATGGAGTTTCTCCATGTTGGTCATGCTGGTCTCGAACTCCCAGCCTCAGGTGATCCACCCGCCTCGGTCTCCCAGAGTGCTGGGATTACGGGTGTCAGCCACTGCATCTGGCCCTTGAGTGTCCTTTTATAGACAGGGAATGCCCTGTCACTGGAGCTTTAGGAGAAATCAGGTGACCACTTGGCAAGAGTACTGACGTGGAAGAAAGTTCAGGTTCAAATATGTTTTTGACTTGAGGTTTGCTCAACTATTTATTAATTCTCTCACTTGAAAATACATGTCCAAAACTGCTCTGGCTGTTGGAAATATCAAGAACTCCAGACCTCAGGTGATCCAACCGCCTTGGCCCCCCAAAATGCTGGGATTACAGGCGTGAGCCACTGCACCCGGCCTACCTGCATTATTTAATCCTCAAAAATTACCCTCATTCTATAGGTCAGGAAACGAAGGTTCAAAGAGGCAGATCATAAGCTTTGAACCCAAGTCTAGATGACTCTACACCTGTAACCTAACCTCTTCCTACATAACATATTAGACATGAAAAGGCTACCTAAAGGCAGAGGTGCACAAAGGCCTTATGACTCACAGAGAGCGAGTAAGGGTATGGACTGCCCACCTAACTTTGCTTTTTGGCTCTATCCAACTAATCAGATGATGTTCTCAGTTATTTCTGCTTTATACAAAGAACCAGCTTCCACTTAGTTGAATTAAGATTACTTCCATTTGTTCTGAGTGGTTCTTTGGAGAGTCAAATCATTCGAAAAGGGGCTGTTTAAAATTTACCTACAATTTATGTTTTTCAGAGGAAAAACCCATGTATGCTATAACCAAGTTATACAAGTATAAATGGATGTCACACTGTCAAATGCATTAGATTAACTTCTTCTAAGATTGTCAGGAAAGGACAACACTAGAACAAATGCAGTACAGGAAACTTTGCATTTATGTAAGTTAAGGGGAAGAGAAGTAAATACTATACAAACCAATTCCCATAAAAGTCTTTTATAGAATAAGCCCAAATAGGAAGGGCTTAATACTTCACCTTGAACCTCCAGGTAGTCACATTCCAGAGTGGACAGCACAGAAGGTGCTACCAGGCACAGCACAGGCTGTTCCACACTGCTGCCCTTGTCAAGCTAGCCCAGACTGCATTAAGGTGAAGCTCAGAACAGCAGTGCCCATACCTCCTCTTCAGATACCTGCCCTGGGTGACCTGGTACTTGGCTGCCAGCTCCTCCAGGCTGGGTATACCTACAGCACACCTGCAGGAGACATTGTGATTTCACAGACCTGCCTCAGGCACACCTGGAGTCACCTGGAATTGGAGCTGCAGGCAACTAAATTTTTCTACTTCACAGACCTCATCAGAAACTCATTTTACTTAACCTTCTATCGTTAAAATTTAATCATCTATTTAACCTGTATCATTCAAAAATATATGGAACCTGGCCAGGTGCGGTGGCTCACACTTGTAATCCCAGCACTTTGGGAGGCTGAGGGGAACAGATCACTTGAGGTCAGGAATTCAAGACCAGCCTGCCCAACATGGTGAAACCCCATCTCTACTAAAAATACAAAAAATTAGGCCGGCATGGTGGTGCACGCCTGTAATCCCAGTTACTTAGGTGGCTTAGGCAGGAGAATCGCTGTAACCCAGGAAGCAGAGGGTGCAGTGAGCCACAATCACACCACTGCACTCCAGCCTGGACGACAGACCAAGTCTCACTCTCTGTCTCATAGATGATTGATTGATTGATACAGACAGACAATGTGTGTATGTGTGTATATAGATAGATATGTAAAACCCTCCTCAGCCTTTTTTTAAATTTCTAGAGCCTAAAACAATGGCTATGGCCACTACAGTAGAGGTAAGTGAAAACATTTGAGCACAGTGTACTCTGTCTCCTTTTTTAACTGTTCTTGCTCTCTCCGAGAAGGCTCAGTTACAAGATTACAGTTGTAGAAATTTGCATCTTTATTGTGTTTGAAAGTATTTGTCTTCATGCTGAGGAGGGGCATGATGAAAAAAATACATATATTTCAGTTCAGGTTGATTCTATAGATAGAAAGCCTACACTTTTTAAAGCACTCAGAATAGGAAAAAAAGAAATTAAGTATTCACCTTAGAACTTCGGGCAACATGCCTTAGGTAGGACAAGCCCCTCCAGATGGGTCGTCTCAGCTCCAGATGGGTTGTCTCAGCTCCAGATGGAATATCCGGTTGGTCGCTGCTTCTCCTGGGGACCCCTGACACCACCTCTCTTCCATCGTAGGGCTTAGACTCCTCTCACACTGGAGTTTACATTTTCGGTTTATTCATTGAGGGGGCAAGATGGAATTGCGAACAAAAAATACTGGAAGACTCGCTACCTCTGGAGATGTGCTGTGATTTTCCCGACATATACTTTTTGCCAACAAAGGTAACCACCGTGCTGTTACTCTGAAGTCCTAAACCTGAGCTCAGTAATATACAAACCACCCTCAGTAATATACAAACCACTCTTATTCCCATTCCCTATAACTTCACAAGGGAGATGTGATGATATACTCAAACAACAAAGATTTTAGATCTCCCAAAATATTACTAAAATTTAAAGTAGATGCCTACTTACATCCCATGTTCTCAAGAATATGTACTATAAAGCCATAATAATTACTCTTTATATTATCCAGGTATAATTTCCACATGCTGTTACATTAATCATTTAACCTCTACTGTATCTAATAACAAATTGCCCAAGCCAAGCATATAGAAAATGTGAGCCACTGATTCATTTCAACTATGCAATATGACTACTGGATTTTTTTTTTTTTTTTTTTTAAGATTTCTACCGAAACACCAAATGCTTCTAGCCAGACGACAGATTCAGAACTCCATACTTTTGAATGCCCAGTTTACCAGACACCTGAGAGATCAAGAATTCTGGCAACTACCGGTTTGCCAACAAACTTTTTAACATCAGTTTACTTACCAACAAAGAAACCTCCTAGTCACTGGATCACAATGCGGGTTGCATTGCTTTGTGAAAAGAATGAAAAATAAATGTCCATACCAAACCATTTTAATTTTTGACTCTAGCCAGATTTACATGTTTCAAGACATTCATGTGTAGTCAACACCCTTTATAAAGCATTTGTGTGTTTGGCCAGACTGGGCAGGTGCAGTCTCTTTATTTCACTTGTACATGAAAACTTCAACACATTGGGGAATCTTACAGCTGCTTTTTATTTTAGATACCTAAGACCTGACCGTGCAATGTCCCTGTGGTTGGGCTCTAATACAGGTCAGCACAACCTGGAATACAGCAAATTTGACTCTCCTAACAGTAAAAACCATACCACCTAGCAAGGTATCAGGGCATGTCTTTATAAACGTTTTGATAAAGTGATTTATAAAGTTATATACAATAAAATATACACATGTAGAGTAGGTCTTTGGAGTATTTCCCCTGGCTGCTCTAAGTAAACACAGAATACTACACTGCTGACCTAGCTGCAGACTTCTGAAACAAAAGAGAAGGGCCTTCTTCTTTAAAGAAATGCAGTATGGGCTGGGTGCAGTGGCTCACGCCTGTAATCCCAACACTAGTTCAGGACTTCGAGAACAGCCTGGACAACATGGTGAAACCTCATCTCTGCTAAAAATATGCAAATCAGCCAGGCATGGTGGCACATGTCTGTAATTCCAGTTCAGGAAGCTGAGGCATGAAAATCACTTGAGCCTGGGATGCAGAGGTTGCTGTGACCCGAGACTGCACCACTACCCTCCAGTCTAGGTGACAGAGCAAGACTGTCTCAAAAAAATGAAAAAAATTTTTTTTTTAATTGCAGTCTAGCTGGGTTCAGTGGCTCATGCTTATAATCCCAGCACTTTGGGAGGCCAAGGCAAGAGGATCACTTGAGGCCAGGAGTTCAAGACCAGCCTTGAAAACATAACAAGATCCTGTCTTTACAAAAAAAGTGTTTAAAAACTTAGCCAGACATGATGAGGCACCTGTAGTCCCAGCTACTCAGGAGTCTGAGACAGAAAGATGGCCTGAGCCCCGGAGGTTGAGGCTGCACTGAGCTATGATCGTGCCACTGCACTCCAGCCTGGGTGACAGAAAAAGACCCATCTCTGGGGGAAAAAAAAAGCAATATGGTTCTGACTTCACTAGACCTCTTTGCCTACTAAAAACCAAATCCTGAGAATTCAGTAAATTAAATGTTTCTGTAGGGAGAATTTTATTACTTACTAAAAATGGCTATCATGACTCAGCACCATGTTGAGCACTAATGATCCCTGAATCATCCTCAGGCCCCTCTACACCTCTATACTATGTGGACACATCAGCCAGATTTTATACATGAGGAAACCAGTGCTCAGAGATTGCCCAATCGCACACTGCTGAGAGCAGAGCTAGCTTTTGAAGCCACATCTGACTGTCACTTTATTGTGGCAATGGTCCATGGGCAGAAAGCATAACCCACGTGTACACAAATGACGATGCAACAGTCCCTTCTCTCTACAGTAAGGGGCGTAGAAAAGGTGGGACTTGTACCCAGCACTAAACTTTAACAGCCATGAATAAAACACGTTATTTGTGTCTAGGAAACTGTACCATCTATATGCAAGTAAACTGCACCTAGAAACATTCCACCTTGTATCTTTTGTTAAAATCCAATACTTCATCATTTGCTCCAAACAGTGCAAAACTAAAGACAAAAATATACATCATATACTTGGTATTGGTGCATCTTCTGACACATCTACCTTTTGCAATGTAATGTCCCAGCAGGACAAATTGAGAGGTGAAGCTGTCTGATCTCATCTCACAACTCAGGCTTAGAGTCAACTGGAAATCCAAATGAGCACTAAAGCATGGTCAGCAGGCACAGAAATGTCTCTCACACATGTGCTTTCTTTCAAATGCATAGATGCTTCTGTGATTCATACAAATTCATTTGAAAGTATGACTGAATCTACAATAGTTTTAGCATTTCTGTATTTTCTCAAACAGCAAACACTAAATACATGACCATTTTCTGGGAGTTAAGACTCCCAACTAACCTCTTTGAGCTCCAACATTCTGATAGTCTTGAAATAAACAGCAGTTGTCCAGGGGTCCCAAACAGATGATCCTAGGAAAAGAGGAGGCTAGGTGGGGGTGGGAATCTCAGGGCTCCTGTCTTGGTCCCAAAAATCCCAGAGTTTCAAGCAAAAAAGGGGGTAAAAGAAGCTCCAAAGTGATCAAAATGTTGCTACATTTTATTTCCAACTTAAAACTTCATTATAAAATTTGCCAAATAAACATGTCAAAAACAAAATTAAAAACAAATTGTAGCTGACATCCAGAAATTGCAGCACTGCATTGGTAATGGGCTCTTTTCATTACTGGGGAGAGAATTTAATGTCCTTCCTCCCTCCCCAAAAGCTTCCTTGGTGTAATCTAGTACAGAAAATGCTGGGAACCACTTTCTGATGCCAGGAGAAAAGCAAAATTTAAAAACTGCTTGCACACATCAGCACTGATAAAGCAATGACAATTTCACTAAAAGAATGTTTAAAGACTACAAGATGCTAGAGCAAACCAACTTCATGACTGCATTAACATAAGCTAAGTTACATACACTTCAAATGCAGTGTAGAATGAACACTGCATATCTAAATGGCTCATATATAAAATGTATCATTAAAACCCAAACATACACACTATATTTATCACATTCCTCTATATTTAAAGTACTGAGAACAATTTAACTTTGAACACAAACCTTTAGTGAATTTGCTACTGTTCTATTACAGGACAATTAAAAATGAAACTATATCAATTTCGCTAGAATGTAATTGCTAAAGCTACCTTATACTCGTCTAGTAAACTAAAAGAAACGACTTTAACCCCTTAAGTTGTTTTTAGATAGCACTCCTTTACAGGGAGTAAAGTTTTGTAAATATAAAGGATATATAAAAAATACAGTATAAACTGTGTGAGCTTAACAGTAACAAAAACACTGATGAACTTTTAAAAAGTCAAAAATATATAAAAATATTAGCCTGGAATGGCAAATTTTCAAACACCAATCTGTGTAAAAATGTTTAAATATTGATGTTACTCAAAAAATATATATTTATTCTATTTTTTTTCTATTTGCAACAGTTTATAAAGGCAAACAAACACCTGCAATTGAGGTAGCAAAGCCAAATTCACTAACTTTGGATCAAAAAATACCCTTCCTATGTTTTAACAGTATCTTCTATACGATAGTAAATGAATTCTAATTGTTTCAAAATTTTTAATTCACATCACTTTACAAAACTTTAAAATACTGAAAATGTTTTGTTAAAAAGACAGTTAGTCCTGACAATCATCTCACATTCAAAATACTATACAGAAAAATCTGATATATTACATAAAACTAAGCTATGTATTTACATTTTCAAATAGTTTTAGAAGTTGAGGTTAAGCCAACTGCTACAAATGGTCTCCCTTAAACAGTGTCTGCTAATAATCTCATCACTCTTCACTTTCAGCATTTAATATAGGCCCTTCTTTTTGCTTTCAAATGATATAACTAGTAAATGACTTAAAGAAAAAATTCTATTCTCTTACTGAATAAAACATAAATGTACTTTAAATGTAAGAGTGTTTTAAGAAAAACCAATGGGCAAAAAAAAAATCAAAATTTGAAAAGTAATCAAAAACCATAAACATCAATAGTATTCTTCATAGTATATTAAGACTTTTGTTTTCAGATTTTTAAGGGCTGAAAATTTCCCATAAAAATGCAAAATCTCACATCCTTACTTGTATTTTTCCTGTGTTAATTATAATTTAATAAGAGTAAACAGCTATAATAAAAGACTACTTGGCTCTATAGTCCTGACTCAAAAAGAAAAAAAAAATTTACAGATCCTGTCAGTGCAACAAAAGAAAGTTTTGGATATTTTTCCTTGTTTTCGCAAATGGCAGCCAGAATTGCAGGAGTATTTTGTAGATGTGCCAGAAGAGCATTAGTAGATATATGGAAATATACGGTAGGGCACACGCTGACAGTACTTTTCCCAAGCCACACCGTATTTCTTCTTACACTGGTACTCGTCACGAGCTTCTCGGTGGACAAGCAACATGGTGAAATAAACCACGTAGAAATAAGGCAGAATGTGATTAAAACCTGTGGATAATCCCAGTAACAGTATTAGATATTTTTATTATCACTACAACATATTTTTTCCTGCTTTCCTCCAAATTCTCTAAAAATGAACCACAAGGTTACTTCATTTTCTCTAATAAGGAAAACAAATCAGTCTGTAAAATCCCACTGGGAAGTGGCAGGTCTTATCTAAATTAGAAGCTACTCAAAAGTGATGAATCCATTCTAACAATCCATCACAATCAAAACATCTGTCCTCATAGTTAGTGTAAAGGGAGACATTATGCAAATGTCTCCATTTCTCACCCTTCTTCCCCCAGTGAAGAAGTAAAACTGCCAAGGGCCACCGGGCCACTGCACACAGGAGGTAGCAGGCACAAGCCAGTTCCCCCTACCCCCATAGCTCCCCCAGCTTTCCGGAATCCCTCTGCTTCCCCAGCTCCCACAGCTCCCTCAGGTCCCACAGCCCCCGCCGCCCCCCCCTCTCCCAGCTTCCCCTCCTCCCTCAGCTCCCCCAGCTCCCCAGCCCTCCACCCCCGCACCCTGCTCCCCCAGCTATCCCACCTCCCCTGGATTCCCCAGTGCCCCTGCTCCCCCAGCTCCCATAGTTCCCCATGCTCCCCCTACTCCCCTGCTCCCCCTGCTCCCCACGAGGCCAGACTCGCACAAAGAAAAACAGAATCTCTTTCCCTTCTTAAGAACCAAAGTTTTTCCCAATCTGTGTGCAATGAGTCATGAATTAAGAAGCTGAATTAATTTCTATATATTCTACTTAGAAAAAAGCTATCAGGCACAGTTTAAAACTTAAAATTTTGCTTTTAGGCTTCCTTCAGGCACCAATTACCCTCAAATGCAACAGGAGCTTCTACAGAGACCAACCTCACAGTAGAAAAGGGCAACCAAAGACTCACACCCACCTTGC